TTGATACAGAATGCTGGATACATGATACTGCAAATGATTTTTTCGCAAGTATTGGGACTAAACTTGTTTCGTCGATTGAACAATTCCTTGCAGGACCTGTTAAACTAAATTTTGTTTTAGCAAATATTACTGTTGAAAGGTATTTGAAATACTTGCAAAATAAAAAAACAGTTCAGGTTAATATAATTTATCATCTAAATTATTTAAGGAAATCATGCTGAGCATCATTGATCCTGTCGTGTATTTACTTAATTTGTCATAAATGTGCAAAAATTGTGCCAATTTTCAAATCAGGGGAGAAAACTGTATTTACGAATTATCGTCCCATTAGTCTACTATCTTCTTTTTCTAAACTGCTTGACAAAATTGTCAGTAAATGTTTTGTTGTTTAAATAAACACCATGTATTTTATGTTAAAAAAGTGGAGAATTATGGTTTAAAGGAATATCTAACATTTGGTTTAAAAGATACTAACAAAAATTCTTTAAAGGAAGTATTCGCGAAAACTGAAAGGGGGTATGTGCCTACGGCGAAAAATTATCGATATTAATCTTACTTGTCTGTTGCGTGTATAAGGAGAAATTTGTTAAAAAAGTACCGTCCATACAAATTCAAAAAGTTGCAACATACTACTCGGATCGTAAAAAAATCAATTGATCCCAAAGAAATCATTTAGATATTACAATCATAATCATCGATAATTTTTCGATGCATTCGTATGTAGTTGATATTTTATAAAAAAAAATTTATTTTTTATGATTTAAGAGTTACTTTTAAAACATTTATTCAATTTTCGAGGATTTCTGATAATGAAGACAACATTTTCATATTTTTCAGGAATGTTCGAAAATCCAGCGCCAGTCGTGAAAACAAAATTAAAAATGATATGAAATATCAAAATCGTTAACAATAGTCTTATTAAGTCCCATATGGAGAATACAGGTGTTGCATGGGGATGAAGTAATAATAGTAAAATAATACAGATATGCATATTGCAGAAAAAAGTGGCAAATAAAAGATATAACTCGCATTCAGATCCAATTTCTCATAATCTAGGTATTTTAAAATTTCAAGATCTTGTCAATTTAAATTCAGCATCTTTTGTTCACAAACTTTTTTGCAATTAGTTATATACATTTTCCTCAATGTTTACAAGACTAAGTAAAACAAAAATAGAACTTTAGTATTAGTAAATGAGAAAACTAGATCGAAGTACTTAGATTTCTATCAGCGAGTTTACAACAAGTGATGCTAGTTGTGTGCAATAATAAATAATAATATATAATATTATCAATTATATCTATTGAAAATGCAAAATAAAAATCAAAAAATTATAGCCATCTGAGATTCTCAGGTTTCTGTGGGATATAATCGTTTTCAGGTTGTTTGCGTATTTGCTGAATATGATCTGTTTAAACCTACTACTTTTACACATAGTTTCATATATATATATTTTTGTATAATTTTGACACAGTTTCTCGAGACATGAACATCAGGTAGATGTCTTATATGTATCATTCAACGCCTGCAAGATTCTCCGGTTTTATCCTATACCCCCTTTCATTTTTCCTTTACAGTCCCTTTAAATAAAAAAAAATAAAGTCATGTGCATTTAAACAGAATGAAAGTCGTCTTTTTTATTGAAAATGTAGCTTTGTGTATTTTGCAACAGTTATGGCTAGGGTTGTTAATAGTTTGGATTCCTATTTAACAATTTTTAATTAAACTTCCAATAAAAAAATGGAAAACGATCACTTTAACACGTTTGCTTTTGATTTGTTTTTTGAATATATGTTTAGAATAAAAATTTTGAAATTAATCAAGCTTCTCGGGTTTTTGTGGAACCTTTCCCAACCCCCTGAAAAGCGAACCAACTTATATTGCAAATCACCAGCTATGACTGCATGATTTCTTCTGTTTCTGGTTAGCACTATATATACTGGAACATAATCTTAGCTTAGAACAGGTTACAAAAATTAAGGTTTCTCCTTAGTTTTCAACCAACTTTCTGTATTTCCCATCACATTTTCCGGCCCATTATTGTGGAATCTCTCTGAATTTTCTTGAGTGTCTCATTATTGTGGAAGCTTCCTGAATTTTAAAGATTGTCCCATTATAATGAATATTTTTATATTCTTTAATTTGGAGATTGTCTCATTATTTTGGAATCTCTTTGAATGTTTATGATATTGTAAATATTATCCTCATATGGTCTGAATACTGGAGCCTGCAGCTACAGAATAATTCAGGAATATAAGAAGATAATTCAGGAATATAAGAAGATAATTTTATCTCGGGGCAGCGTACACTCATCCTTCTTATAGGTTATAGGTCGCCCATTTCTGAATATATGCGACATAAATGAGTACGTTTTTGAGAAACTATGTCATTTTTTTATGAAATGTTCTTAGGGCATCGTAATATTTTGTATAGAGTCTTGTGTGTCTTATTATGTGTATGTGTATGTGTATTTTATTCTATTGTCATTATGTAATATATCTCAACTATCCTTCCATTTCCACTGTGAACATGTTCTCTTTAACAAAAAATTTCGTGGATTTTTAAAATTTTCAAAAAAAAATTTGATGGAGGCAAATCCATAAACCTTCCCTGGGGTCACATGAGATCCCACAAAAATTGGGCCTGATCGGTTCAGCCGTTTTGACGTTTATTGGATACAAACGGACAGACGGACAAACGGACACCCAGACAAGCAAAGTATATATATATGTATGGAAGATGCACTGTATGAGTCTTTTTTGATTTTGTGTATGTGTTCGTTGTGTGTGTGTTTGTTGTGTTAGTGTCTCTGTTTGTTGTATGTGTGTTTTGTCTGTGAGGGGGTGTTTGTTGTGAGAACATTTGTGTATGTTGTGTTGGGGTGTCTGTGTTTGTTGTGTATGTGCTAGTGTGTTTGTTGTGTGTGTGTGTATGTATGTGTTTGTGGTATAATTATTTGTGTATTTTGTGCATGTGCATTTGTGTTTGTTGTGGATGTGTGTCTGTCTTTGTTGTGTGTGTGTCATTGTTTGTTGTGTGTGTGTCAGTGTATTGTGGTATGTGTTTGTCTATGTTGTGTATGTGTGTCTGTGTTTTTGTGTGTATGTGTGTCTGTGTTTGTGGTGTATGTGTGTCTGTGTTTGTGGTGTATGAGTGTCTGTGTTTGTGGTGTATGTGTGTCTGTGTTTGTTGTGTATGTGTGTCTGTGTTTGTTTTGTGTGTGTGAGTGCTGAAGATGGTTTATAGTTTAGTTGGTTTTGAACTGTTGGAGTGTAATAGTGTAGGTGCAGGGATTCATCAATCAATCAATCCATCAAGTCACGTGACTTTAACCAATTATTACAAAACAGGTTTTATGTTCTTTAAGCAATTACATACTTCATAGCAATGCTCATTCTTTCTTTATGTAATAAATTTATTAAAATCGAGAATAATTTTTTCTCAATGAGATTGACAAAAATAATCAAAAATATACAGTATCTTGTAACGGAAATGACGACTTCCAATTCGTCTTTTTTTACGCGGCATTTCGTCATAAACATTTTTTTTTATAAGGAAACAAAAAATTCTCTGTATGTATTCTGCATCCTAAATTTCTAAAATGGCCTTTTTGTGTCTTAAAACTAAATGAATATTATCTTAAATGATAAATAGGTCCCTACAAATCTTAAAACTAAATGAATATTATCTTGAATGATAAATAAGTCCCTACAAATCTTAAAACTAAATGAATATCATCTTAAATGATAAATAGGTCCCTACAAATCTTAAAACTAAATGAATATTATCTTAAATGATAAATAGGTCCCCACAAATCTTAAAAGACGAGATGCAACCCGTCATTTTTATACTCCTTTTAAATAAATATGTTAAATTATAAATTGTAAAAAGTTTATCTAAATAATTTGCAATTTGCAGTACACATTGAATTAGCAATTCATATATTATTTTCAATGATAATGATTGTTTGATTGATGGATTGGTTTCAGGCTAAGTGCAATACACATACATAGCACCTAGTCCAGAATATTCTTCTGCTTTAGAGGTATCTACTCATATCTAGCTCAATCCTGGAGTAGCGAAGATATCGACCAATTTTTGCCACAGTCCTAAAAGACACCTACTAGTTGTTGGTCCAACCTGCAGAAATATTCTACCATTTATTCCATCAGAGACCCACAGGAGGTACCTACTAGCTTCTAGCTCAAACCTGGATGGAGGAAACTACCCAATTTCTGCCCAATACTGAAGAAAATTATTAAAACTTGAGCTTTACTAAGCGTCAGCATCAGCTTATTAACAAAAATAGGTCAATCGATCAGAGTAAACTTTTGAAATTAACAGTAATAACAAAATAATAATATCGATCTTTAAACTTAAAGGGACTGTAAGCGTAATTTCAAGTGACCCTCCCTCCAATACCCGATTTACAACGGTACTCTTAAAAGTTTGTCTGATCATGTTTGAATTAGATATAATTTTTGTTTGTTTCTTTAAACTGTTTATTTTCATTTGCGGTTTCTCTGCGAAAGTGGCTTTCTTTAAACACTTTAGAGTCAGAAAAACAACAATATCTTTCACATGTTTGATCAGATAAAGGTTTCAACGGCTCCGTTGAAATTCACTTAAAATTAGGCTTACATTCTTATTCAGAAAATTTTCGTAAAAAACAAATTTTCTATTTTAATGATTTTAACTCTGAACTGAAAAAGACAGAAATGATGATATTTATACTTCTAAGCTGCGCTACTATAGCATCAGCTCAGCAGTGTACTACCAGTAAGGGTAAGTAAGTATTTTATTTTCTAACTATTAGAGACATCTAGTGGTGATTTTTGTAGACTGTAGTTCTGTAGAAGCCCCACACTGCAGTAAGTGGGGCTGGTGTCAATGGACCTCAGAGCATGGGTCTAATGGTCCAAATCAGGTACATACATATAAAAAAAGAAAAGGGGGAGGGGGTGTAAAGAAAATGAAATTGGCATAATTTTATTCGGAGGGATTTTTTCAGCAAAAATTATCCTCCTTCCCAGCCCCTTCCACACTTTAAAAACAGTTAGTAAATTATGGTATAGATACCTGATACATCCCTGCTTTATTGCTTTTCGTTCAAAATATCTCATTCAAGCATGAACAAATAAACAAACAAAAACAACATTAAAAAAGTAATATTCAAACCAAGATTATTTAAAATTATATTTCATGCTTATTTACTTTTCCCAGATTAAATCTATACAAAAAACTAATGACCTAAAACTACTAATAAACAATGTGTGGTTAAATACTTCATAAGATATTAAACAACGTATAAAATTTAGCCATCAGCCATGAACCAATTAGCAATCAGCTTTTGACTAATAAGCAATCAGATATTTCCCAATCTGAAATTAGCTGTTAAACAACATTTAGTTATCAGCTATTGACTATAAGAAGTAAGCAATCAGCTATTTAATAATTCTAATCAGATAAAGAAACATTAACAATCAGCTATTGTATAATAAAGAACCAACTATTGACTAATTAGCCTAATCAATTGACTTATAAGCTATCAGCTAAATTTAAGTAAGCAATCAGTGTTTTTTAAACATTCTAGTTTCTTCGGCTTTCAAGTAGGTTAAAAAAACGGAGGAGTTCAACTCATTTCAAAATTTCATTCTTTTCTTTGTTTTTATGAAAATACGCAAAACTTTGAAAGAAAAAAAAGAAACGTAAAGAACTGATAAAGAAAATCGTGCAAAGCTTATTTATTCTGTCAGAGTTAAAATTTGCGTAGTGCGTATAAAAGCAAACTCTAAAAAATACAAATTCAATTTTTTGTAGCCTCCTGAAAGCAAAAACCTTAGGATGTTTAAAAACGATGCCTAACTCTATTTTTAGTAATGCCCAACCCAAAATAGTACAAAAATTTGATTTACTCGTCTTTCTGGTTTTAGAAAACAACAGTCAGTATACCACAATGCGTAGAATTATAGACAGATAGAAAATAAAACTGTCACTGCGTAACGGTGCGTCCTGATTAATGTTGTGACGCATTGACGCAACATGTAGAATCTCTAATCTCTCTCTAAATATATAAATAAATAAACTTACATATACATATATTCAGAGTGTCTGTTTAGGCTTTTTAGCCTACTAAACATCATTGTATTGTGTTTAAAGAGGCTTATAGCAGTTACAATTTCCATTACAGGGGGTTGTCGATGCAACATTTTTCTCTAAAATGACGTTTTAACCTTTAAAAGTATTCCTAATATTCGAAAATGTGCTCGGTCTCGTAAATTTCATAATCTGATTTTTAAATTTTTGAATTTTTTTGAAAATCTTAAGAACAGTACATTTTGAGTACATTTTAAAGGTAAAAACGGCATTTTAGAGTAAAATACTTCAACGGTGACGCCTCAATTTATGAACAATGTACCAACTTGTAACGACGTTCAGAGGGTGAAAAAGTAAGTAATATCTTTGGAAATGGGACCGTGCACATTTTCGAATATTAGACATAATTTTGAAGGTTAAATCGGCATTTTAGAGAAAATGTTTCAGTGACAACCCCCCCCCCCCACATTTTAGGGGATTGTACTCAATGCAGGAGCACCTGCAATACAACGATGTTTGTTAGGCTAAAAAGCCTAAACACACTTTTTCCAGAGACACCTTGTATTTTCTATGTATATTAGAATTGTTTGTTTGTTTCTTTTTTGTGATTGTTCACAATGTGCATTGGACATCCTTTTTTTCTTTTTTAGACATTTATCAGCTTTCGAGCCTGGCTTTATAAAAATCTATAAAGTTTGACATCTACATCCAATAAACACGTCAAAACGGCTGAACCGATCGGGCTCAAATTTTTTGTTGGACCTCATATAACCACAGGGAAGGTTAATGGAACGTCAAACTTGAAAAAAAATTCTCCAAAAAAAGTTAAAAATCATCCCACTTCTTCACTTATCCAAGCAAAGAACATTCCCGTGGTTCTACCGAGTTTTCTAATCAAATTTTGAGACAGATTGATCGGAGACCCAAATAAACAGACAGATAAACAGAAATTTATTTTTTATTTACATAGAATAGAGCTCAGAGAAGCTTGAACGATTTTTAAACAATTTTTTTGGCTATATATCTTTTTTTAGAGCACAATTTTGCAATATGTAATAATGATTACTCGATTACTGTTATATTTTCAACCTGATGATGTAAACCTGTAATATGTTAAACTCAGATTTTATAATCTCGCCGAATTTGAAATAGCTAAAGCCAATGATATTAAGTTGCAATAATATATTGTTATATTAGATTGTTTACAGAGTCTATAACATTCTATACATTTTGGAAAGCCCTGACTCTACCTCAAAAATGTGCAAAAACATAAATTTAGCGAAATATAACCATCTATATTTGTCCCCGTAAATTCAAATGCAAAAATATTCGCAGAATTTTCAAAACCTACGTGTGTAATTAAATATAGATTTAGTCTAGCATTAGTAAAATAAGTCAATCAAGCACTTTGCCTTTAAACTAAAACTTTAAAGTAAAATATTTAAATTACTATGAATTTTGTATTTGAATTACTTTTAAAATACTTTTTGAGTTATGTTCAAAAAAATGTTATGGTCTACATAAAAGGGGATCTATTCACAAGGAGCGCTACAAAAAGGTCAAATTTAAGCATGGTATATTTTTAGGGGTTAAAATTTTATCATAACATTTTTATATTGAACTGAGCTGTTAACTTTAGAATGGGATATCCTTAATCCCAATCGGTTTATTAATCTGGAGATTAATAACAAGAGGAGATCAAGCATTTAACTCGGTATCCATCTTTCTAAAGTGTTCAGCACTGAAAACCTGAATATCCAAACTTTTATTAAAATTCCATCACAAAAAACAGCTTTAGCATGGAAAAGGTATAGAAACTCAAAAATTATTAATTCAGAAGTCGATTGAGATTTATCATTTATATATCTATCATTTTTTCTAGGATGATCATGAGACAGAAGACTCAGAACGTTCGTTTCCATCAACTGATCAGGGAAATAATAATTTTTTAAGTCCTTACTATTTTATTATCTCCCGGCTCCTTTCTCTCTCCGTTTCTCACATTCGCAACTCTTTTCTCTTTACCATGCCCCCCCCCTCCCTCCCCTCGATTAACTTCTTAAAGCTGATCATTCTAATTTTTTTCCCCAATAAATTTTTTTTTCTTTTTCCATGAGAAAAAAATATTATTGGATTTTTCTGAATCAGATATCTCCGAAAGGTTAGGATTTTTATAGAAATTTCAGAATTTACTAAAATACAAATATTATTAGAAGAAAATATAATCAAGAAATTTTTCTAATTTCTTTAGAGGTTGTTTAATGTTTTAAAAAAACCCAGAAATAATAGAAAGATAAAACAGAAATGACCGAACAAATGGCAGACTAACCAGAAATGTAAAACAGAAAAATGTCAGAAATAACAAATCTTTTTAAAAATATTTTGTTTTTAAGCTTATGGATTTGAGAATGGAGATGATGTTTATGACTATTATGGTTCCTATGACATTCTGAAAAAGGTATGAAAAGATTGTTTTAAATAAAAAAATGTACAATGCCGGGAATTTCTCATAGAGATGGAGCTAAACTACTACTAAATGGGGTTGTTGTAATATATTTTTAAAACTTATTAGTTTTAAAACGAGTTTGTGTGCAATTTTAATAGTGGCCAGTGACTCATCAAATAATGCATTAAGAGACAATTATGTTGATCAAATTCAGTCATGCTCGTGAAAAAAACAAATTTACGTTAAGAGTTTATTTCCATTGGGAGGGAGGAGGCGGGGGGGGGGAGAAGGTTGTAGAGCACTCTTCACTAAACCCCACATTTCTTTTGTTAGAGTAATGCAGTACACACCGAAAGTTTAGTTAAGGGTGAGTGTCGAGTGTCTGGTTAAAAAATACCCTTTAAAGCTTTGATTGTTCAAGGATGACGGATTTCTCTTTATTAATCTGCAGAAACGTTTGAAATTTTTGAACACTTTGATTGCAAACTGTTTTATTATTAGAAAATATTAATACTTACACTAAAGAGGTTGCAGAAGAAAAAAATTCGTATTCAAAATTTCAATTAGAATGTTCGAGAAATATAAGTAACGTTAGTTGATTTCACACTGTTTGCTACCGCACACTCACTTAATTTAACAACATTTTAGAGATAAACACACCAAGTTATCCATCCTCGATGATCATTCAAAGGTTTAAAGAATACTGTACTGTATATAGGATATTCCCCTCTTTACATGGAGGGTCACGTGAAATTACGCTCACAGCCACTTTAAAAGTTTACATTTTTAATGTTCATTTAAGTACATGTGGCTAAGCGCTATCCTAATCAGATTAATATTAAATCCTATTCCAGGAACCAAGGGTAGATGAGTTGAACTACATTGACTCAAGTATATTTGGAGGCAATATCCAGCTGGTCAACGAAGACCAGTCAGAAGGCCAGCTGGTCAACGAAGACCAGTCAATGGTCCAGGCTGAAGAGGATGACCCACCTGAAGAAGAGGGTCAAGTGGGAAGATCTGATGTGCCAGCTGTTGGACTGGGTGGGGAGGAGAGCCAAGGATGTCTGTATGACTGCGTAAATGATTGTGTTGCTATTGATCAGCTGAAAGCGTACAGGGACTGTGTAGATTTTTGTGGTGTAACTTGTGAATAGAGAAATTCTCGTTTATTTATTACTAAACATTCATGAAATAATAAATATGAGATTAGATATTACGCCTTGTGATAGATCCTGGGGTTTATGTTTATGTTTACACTTTTTAGGATTATTTTAAGTATTTGTTTAAAATAGGAAATTTGGTTTGAAAACCTTAGGTTTCATTTCACTGGTAAACATCAGGATTAATTGATCGGGTAAACATCAGGATTAATTAATCGGGTAAACATTAGGATTAATCAATCCGGTAAACATCAGGATTATAATTAATCTGGTAAACATCAGGATTAATTAGTCGGGTAAACATCAGGATTAATTAATCCGGTAAACATCAGGATTAATTAATCTGGTAAACATCAGGATTAATTAATCGGGTAAACATCAGGATTAATTAGTCGGGTAAACATTAGAATTAATTAAAGCGGTAAACATCTGGTTTTTACATTATAAATAAATAAATGAAATCCTGTTAATAAACAGGATTATAGTCCCATGAAGGTAGAAAGCATCCATGTAGAGGTTTCGGAACAGGACCAGGCAGCTCAAACTCTACACGACCCAACTCAACTAGATCCTCAGCGTTAAGTACGACCAGACCTAAATATTTTATATGAATGTTTTGATTAGCATCCCTCAAGAAAACATTTATGATGACAAAAATTGTTGAATCAAAACCTACAGAGCGTCACACATCATATTAGATTATCTCCATAATTTAAAGCTAAAAAACGAACATAATAATCGAAAAACCTATATGTTTTCTGCATGCACATTTTTAGATTATCTTATACAATTTGTTTAAATGATTCGTTCTTCTTAAATTTTCTGAGTAGTCCCGAAAATCGCAATTTAGTGTCATAAACTATACGAAATGATGTGGGACACCCTGTATATTACAATGTCACAGAGATTTTGGCGTGCATTAAATTAATTTTAATAATTGAGTATTTCTGATGTTAGTTAAAGTAGATTACTTAGTTAGAACTATTTACCCACCATTCAGGGTGTCCCATGAAACATGACAGTAGCAAGACGATTTGAACATCGTCTTTGATATTTGATATAATTTTCTGTTATCAACCTATAGTTTTAGAAGTACAATTTTAGAGTTAATAATCGCAAAATACCTCTAGTCCTGGCATCTCTAAAATATGATCCGGTTTTTGTTTTGTTTTCAATATTACCCGAAATTCTCAATATCTCAGGTAATATTGACAGACCAAAAAGGCAGACCCCTTTGGAAATGCCAGGACTGTTTCAAGAATCAGACATGTTAAAGTAGGTTGAGTACTGAATGTCACAAATATTATATCAAAGACGACTTTAAAGTCGTCCCTCTACTGTCATGTTTTGGGAGACACCCTGTAGTTACTGTCGTATCTTGTTGGCAAAATTTAACATTCGACGTAAAATCATTGCATTGTGAATTTTTTTAATTCATGTAAAAAATAGCATTGTTTATGAACCTTCTGCCCTTTTTATTAGTTGAAAAATATGCTTATTTATAATGATTAATGAATATAATGATAAATAACAACGAAAAGGACTTACCTGAATATCTTACTTCTGGTTTGCCGCGTATAACTGAAGTTATCAAGACTCCATCGTCTTCACTCTTGGCATCAGGTCTTGGAACAAAAACCGGTTCTGAGCAGTAGGTGTTCGGTTGACACCATGTAAGCACCTCACCTGAAATTTTAAATGAATACAGTTTGGGAGATTTTAATGCTTGAATTGTGTTAAGTTTGACATTATTTTTCACTTACCAGTTTTTGCGTTTACTTTTAACAGTTTGCCAGCGTTCTCTGCATCTACATCACTTGTTATTGCGTAGAAAAACTAATTTGAAATCCATTTTTCACATATTTTGAAAAACTAATTTAAAATCCATTTTTCACATGTTTTGAAAAACTAATTTGAAATCCATTTTTCACATATTTTGAAAAACTAATTTAAAATCCATTTTTCACATGATTTGAAAAACTAATTTGAAATTAATTTTTCACATATTTTGAAAAACTAATTTGAAATCCATTTTTCACATATTTTGAAAAACTAATTTGAAAACCATTTTTCACATATTTTGAAAAACTAATTTGAAAACCATTTTCATATATTTTCTTTGAAAGGCAAAGTTGTTTTTAAGTAATCGTCATAATTTGTAATTCATTCATTTAAGATTCTCTTTAAAATTGAAAGTGATAGCGCGCGTTGCATAGATATTGAGTAAGATCTAAAAAATATGCAATAAAACACAACTTATAAGAAATTAAATTCATTTTATATTGTTTTTCATAAACTTAAGAATCAATTTAATTAGCGAAATGGTTCCGAGTACAATGCTTTATTAATTGTTGTAAATTGTTGTAAATTAAAAAACACACTGCAAATTTCTTGGAAAATGGCAATTCCCTGATAAGGTTTGCCGTTGAATTGTGAATAATTGATGGCAGGGGTTTCACATCCATCATCACAGATTACCTGCATGAAATATATCTCTGTTAATCTAAAGAAAAAACAAATTGGCAATAAAGTTATTAAGTTATGCAAATGTATAATGTAAAATGTAATCTGAATGAATGCTATGAAGGTATATTTTTTACCATTAAAAAGGTGTACTTGTTATATAATATTGAGTAAATCCTTGATATAAATATCTTAACCATAATATTTAATCTTTTTTTTATTTTTAATCTTTCAAACTACGAATTCTTCTAGATGAAAAAGCCAAAGTTTGAAATATCAAAGGTTTAAACCATCGGGTTGAAAGTACGTGAGACCCATTAAACTGTGAAATAGGAAGACGACATTTAAACAATCTTGTTATAAAACAGATAGTATTACTAGTATATTGAGAATAAATTTATCTGCAGGTACAATGGGTGTGTGATCACGGCGCAATATTGCTGTGTTTCATGTTCATTTGATTATTCATTAATCTAACAGTCGTCATATATTCCACAGTTTTATGAGACCCACAGTATTGGAAGTATTTAGTTACCTGTGGTACAATATTTAGAGCAGAAGTTTTTACTATATTAGCTCTGGCTTTAGTATACGGTAAATCAACCTATAAAATAATAAATTAAATATTTAACAAAGAAAAAATTCTAAGATCAGTCAGAAATCAATTCATACTCAAAAGATTGTGAATTTGATACGAAGTTCGACAATTTTTAACTTTCAGTTAACTATTTTTTATTTTCTAAAATTTGTTAATTTTTAACAATGGCAAGGCAATATAACTCAAAAGTAGAGTTTCCAGCGAAATGGGAAAATCGGTTCGCGAAAATTTCGCATTTTGTGCGAAAGTTTTTGCATTTTTTCGCAACATGGTCGCATATTTTATCCGCAAAATTCTGCATTGTTTTTGCTTCCTTTCGCAAAATTCATTTTCGCATTTTTTTGCGAAAGTTTTAGTACGCTGGAAACCCTTTTCAAAAGTAAAAAATTAGATGATATTTTGGTGATTTTTTTCCTTAAAGCGTCAACATTTTTTGCAACAAACATTTCTATCTTTTATGTGTTTGGCTGGAGGACAAAGTCTCAACCACAATTTTCGCAAAAAAAAAAATTCTCGGCCAATTAAAAAGATAATTTCTGGACGGAAGAAAGTCTGGAGTGGGGTGTAACATGCTGGTTCACAAGTACATAAGAGCGACTAGTTACCCATTTCCAAAATTTCTTTGTTATTATTATCAAATTTTTGATAATATAATTTGTAATTAAATGCAATTTAAATAAAAGTTTACACAAAGATAATATATATTATCTTTGGGTTTACATGTATATCAGTTTATAAAACATTAAAGCAAAACTTCAAAAAACTGAAGGAAAAATAAATTAATAATTTTCTCTCCAGAGCAAGTCTTTTTCGGGAATTTTCTTTCCAAGATTCGTCTTTTCCGGAATAAATCCAATCGCCATGAGTTTAAATGCCAATTTTTACCTGGTTTTGTCGATCAGGGTTTATCTTCAATGGTAGGATATATCTTTTTGGTCTCCCCTTCAATAATACTGATTATCTTCTCTTTTAAACATGCTTGTTTCTTAAAAATAGCTATATTAAGCGATTGATGAGCTGAGCTGAATACTTTAAAATTGGAAACCTTTAAATCCGATTGCTTAATCTGAATATCCATTTTGGACACTTTTAAATTCCTTCTCTTTTTGGATATTTTCACTTTGTTTGACCAATATATGAGTTCACTCTTTAAATGGCGCGCAAAATATCAAATTTCCCGGCTTCTCTGCTTGGCTGTTCCGGTTTCTACAAACCCCACTCGATTGGTTGAGTTATGAATACTTTTGTTGATACAAACCTAGGATGTTGATTATTTTGAGAATAACAAAAAGAGGAGATCAAGCATTGCTCTCGATATCTACAATTATAAAGTTTTCCAAGCAGAGAAGCCGGAAAATTTGATATTGTGCGAGCCATTTAAAGAGTGAACTCTCATTTGGGCGGAAACTGGCAGGGAGAGAAAAATAAAGGAAAAGAACGATTTAAGGAGGAAATTAAAAGTGTTCACATTAAATACTGAGATTAAGCGATCGGGATTAATAGTATCCAATTCTAAAGTTTTCCGCTCAGCTCTGATAACTTTTAATTGGATTAAACGAAAAAGATTAAACTGTTCTTTTAAAACTACAGAGTTAGCCACAAAGTACAGTTAAACCCCAAATACTAAATACATCGAAAGAATTTATCAAATGTCGTCTTGACAATTTTTCAATGGGGTTTTTACTATTTTACGTAAATCTCAGAATTTGCGAAAATAAATAATGAATATGCGGGAACAGTTTTATAGAGCTCCATATAATCATTTAATTAAAAAACTAAATATCTGCAACATTCCATTATCAGAAAGTAAAGAATACGACATTTAATAAATTCTTTCGATGTATTTAATATTTAGGGTTTAACTGTATAAGACTTTTATGGCGACAAGCACTTTTTAAACATATGAATAAAATGGTTAAAATTGTTCAGCTATTATACGTATTAAAAAGTCATTATACATGATATCTTCAAAAAAAGGTTAAACGGAACCGTTGTGAATCGGACGTGCCACTTTATAACTAGATTGTTATACATTACGTTGACTGTTCCTTTAAATGTTTATAAAATTGTATAATGTACCTTGAAAAGGTTTGCGTATGCCGGGTTGGATTGAGCAAACTGAAGTTCTGAAATGAACATGCAGTCCATCATTGCTGGACTATCATAACTACAGATATCCACAACTACATGATCTCCGTCCTGTACAATATCCAGAGGTAACCCCAGTACAATAATTTTAGGTTTTTTCTTTTTATAAATTATGAATTGTCGATCAGAGTTTTGTGATAGTTGGAACTTTAATTGTTGTATGAATATAAGTTACAATTCTTTTGCTTTTTTGTACTTTTTACAATTCTTATTATTGTTTGAGTTTAATTGGTGTTATCTATTGAAAGGTTATAGATTAATTTATTTACAACTATTTATGTGCATAAATAAGATTAGAGGCCTAATCCCTAAATATTACCTCATAAGCATTGATTGTGTGAAGATAGAAGAATGCAGCAGAAGTGTATTTTATTGGATGCTTCTTCCCTGTAACCTGTCGGATATATAATTGATTAGTTTTTGTAACTTTAATAATAACATATATCTAGGTTTGGTTGTTTATTTGTCTCGTGGATTTAACGGTTCTGTCAATATTTCAGAAAGCTGCGACTTTCAATCACAATTTTACCTCTTATACAGAATTTTTAGCCTTTTTTCTCAAAAACTTTTTTGTTGGCATATACGTTTTGAATGAAAAAGTATATAAGAAACAAATCCGTAAGTTTAAATATGATTGAATTATAGACAAAAACATGTTTCACTTCAAATAAAAGTAACCGAATGCTTCTCACGCTGGTTAGTCCGGGGTGTTGTATGTCCGATCATAACCATTAAAAGATTTGTCTCAGATTTTAATTGGAGAACTCGTTAAAACCACAGGAATGTTCTTAGTTTGGCTTAAAAGGTCTAAGTAGAAAAGGATAACTCTTTGTTTCCAAGCAAAGCTGGGTTCCAAAGCAAGTATTTTATTGTTTACCTTATCTATCAAGTGAAAGACGACATTTGAAGTACCCTGCCACTGAAGTGTGCTTGCTACTGGACGGTTCCGAATTAATGCAGAAACCATTTTCTTTACACTAACCGTCAAAGGTTGCTCTATCAGAACAGTGAATCTAGGATAACATTATTACATAATTACAGTCACAAATTCATTTATTTTATATATTATCAAAATGTTAAACATTAGGAGAGGATATCGCATAACAGCTTAGCGACTTAACTCAATATCCACTGCACAAACTTTAAGCGAAACATTAGCAGAGGATATCGCTTAACAGCTCAGCGACTTAGCTCGATATCCACTGCAAAAACTTTTTATTATGGGTTTAACTCCTTATACAGGGGCGAATTACACCAATATTTCAGGGGGCCCATATGTGCGCGAGAACGGGAAAAAAATGTTGGGCCCCCTCTGCCCCCCCCTTAAAAATTGAACAAAAAACAGTAGATATCCAATTTCTTATTTATTATTACATTTAACTCGAAGGACCTTACTTATAGTCTCTTGGAGTTTATAATAACTCTTGTAATAATAGAGATAAATGGTGCTAACTTTGCACCTATATTCTTTTAATCCATAAGGGACCGGAAACCCACCTTGGACAAGGTATTTCAGTTCAGGTCGTTTATTCGATATAATTTTTGTTGTATCTTTTATTCCTTGATGCTTTTATTTCAAAGCATGATTAATGAATTTCCTTAAGGGGGTCGCCCCCCCCCCCAGGAGCTTAGGGGGGGGGAGCGTGTGCCCCTTAATTCGCCCCTGCTTATATAGTTGAGAGTTGACTCCATATAAGGTTTAAAAGTCGTAAAGGGGAAATGTATCAAACGTCTGCAGGGCTTAAGTCACAAGTTTAAGAACGAACAGTTTTGCCCTCCACTTAGATATTTAATCATATATTTTCGCGTTCAACATCACTTTTTTACTTTAGTTTTTGCTCTGCTTGATGGATGTGACAGGAGTTAGGGGAAGTAAATAAAATAATAGAGAAGTTTGGCAACAAAAAAACCAGATTTTTTTCTCAAGGACAAAAATAAAAACCTTGTAAAAAAGTTTTACCTGGGTGTTGTAGCAAAGGAATGCATATAACCAGGATTGAACATACGTCGGCAAGGAACCCGGTATAGTTCTGTTCCGCGGCAAGCAAGCGAGGTTTTGGGACCAGTTGTAGCTTTCTTGGATGCAGATACTGTGGGATTTATTTCCAAGGCCGCCGCTGAAGCTGTTTCACGACTGAATGAGGTAACAGCATACACTGGACCTTCGGAGCTTATTTATTAAAATTGTTTCATTTTGATTGAATTTATAGCGAATTCGCCATCTTTAAAGATTTTTTCGTATTTTTGTTCATTCTTGTAATGTGGAATAGGAAAAACGTTTAAATTAAAACCACACATTTTAAGCAGAAATACATAAAAAGAATAATTATAATAAAATAATAATAATAATAATAATAAAATGTTAATATAATAATGATAATAATAATAATAATGATAATATCATTAAAAAGGATAATAAGTTTAACGAAGTTCCTCTAGCTGAAAGTTTCATGCCCAGTGTGATCATATTTCCCTGTTTATCAAAGTGCACATGGCTGGCATGTGATATCATTCCCAACTTCCCAAGATCCTCCCTGAAAACATTACCATTATTCAAGGGACGGTAAGCAAAATTAAGTGATCATCCATCATCCATGCAAAGAGGGCAATGCCCGATTCGCAATGGTACCCTTTCAACCTTATCTAATCTCCAGATCGCAAAACTGCAAAATCTTCCTCATCGATACCCAGTTTATGGTTCAAAGGGTACCAATGTGAATTGAGCATGTAACACTTTAAATGAAAACAAGGTCCACAGTTTTATTGACTATTACACATTTTACAAGATCCCTGACCTTTTCCCTGTGTTGAGAGTGTGAGGGTCAATGCTGTAGATGAATGGGGACTCGTAGAAGGTGTAGAGGGAACCATCAAACGGGTAGACCGTGATCATGGTGTTATCAGACATTACATTACTCCTGGAAAATTCACAATTTACAAACAAGAAAAAAATGAATTCCTAAGAGGCAACCAAAAAAGTTTGATTTTATTAATCTTGAATGTAACATCATAACTAGGGTTCGTAGAGTAATCACAGTAATTCTTCAAAAATAAATAACTTGTACTAAACGTCTATAGATTGTAGTGATGTTAACTAAATATCATCTAGTGTTTACCCTGCAAAAGTCTATTTTCGTAAAATATCAGGATGTGTTCCCATGATAAAGTTAGATAATTTTCATAACATTTAATTACTATCTGAGAAACTACTTTTAGATACTTTTGAAAGCATTTATAGTTTATGTTGGCTTATGCCATTGGAGGCGCGTGTTACGCTATTCTGGTGGGTTGGATTTGCAATTGCTGACCAATAATATGGACAAAAGAGCAAATACCAAACCCACCAATTGTAGGTTTAAGTGAACATTGCATATCATACAAATTCTTCCGTAGTCTTCTTTCTTTTACTGCAGTAAGATCAATTCTATCAGAGTGTTCGAAAGATCAAACTGTCTTCGGTAGAACAATTCTTTAGGATTATGGTCAAAAGTTGTACCTGGAGAGTTTAACCCGTTCCCACCAGGGTTTAGAGACAGTTGTTCCAAACTCAGGAATAACAATCTTCTCCGCCTTTTGATTTTTTTGAAGAGCCTGAAAAATAATGAACTCTAAAATTAAATCAGAATGGAAGAAAACCCAAATTTGTGCTTTGCTGTTTTTGACAATAACCTTTAATAGGAATAGAAATAAAAAATAGAAAAATTGATGCCCTTTATAGAACCTCAAGACCTCATAGTTTTCATTTGATAATCAAATATTTTTTAATAAATATTTATACCTTTGTTTTAACAAACTTGCAAGAGTAGTGGACATTTCCATTGGCAATCGTGAACTTTTGAAGAACAGCTGACCCATCAAACAGATGTTTGAAGACGTCAGACCCAAACGAGAATTTACCCGGCCCATTCTGAATCAGACTGCCTGACAGCCAGGTAGGTATATTACCGGTTAGCTGACCAGCTGTTTCTGGCTGGTCACCTGTGCAGCTGCGCAGCCAAATAGAGATGTCTACCTGGAAATAAGATAATGCTTGTCATGGTTTTGTTTGCATCAAATAAACCCATTGTGCTAAAATTTGTTGTTGAGCTCTCATTACCCTAGGGAAGATTAAAATTTACGATTTTTAAAATTTCTTAAAAAATATCCGGAAAATCTGCTAAACTACAAAATGTAAAAAAATCTACTAGTGAATTAATATTATTTTAAAGGAATAAAAGTTTAGAATTTCTATAGTTTTTTAAGGTGAAAGATTTGGTTGTCAAATGAAAAAAACTCCTACAGTCGTCGTTGTATTTAACAATACAATACAAACGAATTATGATTTCAATTTTGATTTATTCCAAGCGCAGCTTTTTTAATAGCATAGATTATACACTACTAACTATGAGATAAAGAGAAGCTGTTAATTAATATTTGTAAATTTGTAATTTGATAAAATCTTGTTAGAAATCAAAACTTTAATAGAAATTTAGTTTTCATTGTAATGATATAAAAGGTGACTGTCGCTGTAATTTCAAACAACTTACAGTGATAACCAGAAAACTCTGTAATAAGAGGACGACTTTTAGAGTCAAGTTTTAACTTTAAATAGTTCATTGAACATGAGACACAGCTAGGGTGCATTGTAAACAGGCCTATTTCACTTAATTAGTGATTTAATAAGTTCTTCTAAAACTATTTGCCTTGCAACGACTTGAAATACACTTAAGTATTGGTGTAAAGTCGTCTTTCTATTCCAGAGTTTTCTGGTTATCACTGCAGATGTTTTCTTTTCTTTATCTGAAAGTTAGTAATTTCCTATTGTGTTTTTTCCTTAATAGTTACTTGGGGATTCATGCAGCAGAGGTACTAAGGATAATTGAGCTCGTTTTGAAATAGAAAATCAACGATATCTTTCTAATTTTAGATCAATTAAAAAAGTAAAGGGTACCGTTGTGAAGCACTTACGCAACGAAGAAACGAAGTTACGTACGTTGAAAGACCCTTCAACTATATAAATATAGTGTACAGTGTACATGAGTATTATGTATATATGTACCTGTGGGTACATACCACCCTGTCTACCCTGACACGGCAGGATACCATCATAAATATTTACTTCATCTTCGTCACCCATATTATGTCTTTTTAATATTTACAATATTGTTTTTTTAAATCAAAAGATAACTACTACTAATAAAATAATGATACTAATAATGATAATAATTGTGAATCAGACACATCACTTTATAAATGTAGGGTCACATCAAATTACGTCTGTAGTCCCTTTAAATCAGCAGTAGTTAGTTTAAGAAACTACTGGAAAACCCAGCATATAAGCGAATAGTATCAATAGGCAGAATTAAAGGTGATACTAATAATGATAATAATAAAATAATAATAATGATGATGATGACAATAAAAGCAATAATAATGATATAAATAATAATAATAATAATAATAATAAAATGATAATAATAATAATAATGAAAATTTTAAAATAACATTAATAACTTTGATTAGAACGAAATCAACGATGTTTCAGAACAGAATAGCAAGGATATCACACAAATTTTTAGCTGGACAAAGCTTATAAAAATTTTCTCAAAGTTTGTTAAACATACATAAAAAATGTTTTTATATTCTAACAGAATGTTCAGAATTTGGAAATTCTTTTGGTCGTTCATATTTCAGTGTGGAACTTCGCCAGGTTTCATTAAACATTTTAAAATACAGGCAACATTCTTAGCACAACAAAAAATATATTTTAAAACAATTTGTTTCAAAAATTTAAATAAGTATGAAATTCTCCGGCAAAAAAGGTGAATTTAACGATAATTAAAATAAGATTGATTTTAAGATTGGATGCTGTAATTTATTTCAAGAAGACGACATTCAATTTCTCTCCTACTCTTCATCATTGTGATGTAAAGTGGGACACACTGTATGAAAATTATTCCTCAAAGAAAAGAATTATAAAAAAGAACCCATTTATATTTGTTGTAGATGGATAGGGATAAAGTGGATAACTGAACTCTAGCTGGGGCTTCCATGCTTCTTCATTTCTCTTCCAGCCTCTCTCTCTTCTCTACCTTCCTATATTCCTGGATTCATAGATCAGATTTCACAGATTTACAGAGTGTCCTTCGAAATATTGGTTTTTTTTTCGCACATAGCACTTAATTATAAAGGTAAATAAAAGATTTGAATCCAGAAGATTTTGAGTAAAAAAATATTCCACTTAACATTGTATTGTGTATAACAAAAAAAAACGTGGTACTTCTGGGACAAATTTTTTAAAGATCTATTTGTTAAAGTTAATTTGAGAATTTGAATTATAAAAATCTTGGATTGTTTGAGTATTCTGTTACTGTACCGTACGTGCTTTTTTACTTGAAAGTTGGAGATAATACAATTATATTACACGAACTGTAGTTAGCACCAAGACATAAATATAAATATATTGTACATGAAGTCAAACCTTATAGAAATCGTATAGAAACCGCTACGTATAGAAGCCGCGTATTTTCCGGGAGAACATTTTTATATTTTATATTTTTTGTATCACTATTGCTTGGGCTACGAAAAAGGTTTGAAAGAAACGGAAAGATCAGAATAAGGGTCAAGGTAAAGAAGCTCATCAAAGTCGGTATGGTCTCTATAATTTTGGACCTATGTGCGAATTCTAATGAAGGAAGGNTTTATTTTCTTCATGGTATTCGAAAGTTTTTTTTTCATCTGGCATTTCGTGCTCTCAACTATATTTATGATAGTTTCACAATTATATAAAATAGGAAAATATATAAAAACATATATATCTAATAATATAACAATTGGCGGACCACCAAAATAAAAAATGTTAGAAGAGTCGGGTTAAAATAAGTAACAAATTGTTTAATATGTAATACTCTTGTTCTAGACATAAAAGCGGTAAAATCTACAACATGACTCTAAAATCTGTAAAATTTGTTTTTAAAGTATTATTAATATCACGATTTTCGAGATTTTCGATAAAGGTTTAAATCAAAATGTTTAAAAAAGCAACAATTAAGACCGGATATGGCGCATTTTCGTGATTCTTGGATTCACATGTTTTAAACATTCGAAATAAAAAACATGTCTGCTGTTTTGTATGTACGTGTAAGGATATCATATATTAAAGAATACCGGAGAGTAAAGATCATATTTCTAATCCATCTTTGTGCAAAGGAGCGTAAGAAGTAAGGACACGTGTATCGGAGGACAGGTGACACGTGGTCAGCTCACGCTTTGCATATGGATAAACACGTGTAATTACATCAAAATAACGTGCCTTCTTATTAGTACAACCAACTAACGTACTTTACAAGGTTTATAAGGAGGTTTCGCACCCTTCTTTCGATCTTGTAGTAGTCTTAACTTTTTATGTTAAGCTCGGTGGGGGCTGTTTTTCAACATTTTAAATTTTTTAAATTCTGGCAGGGTTGGCAAAAAAACCTGTAAAAGTGGACTTTTTGTGGTTTTATTGTTTTTTTTTTAAAGAGAATTTTTCTAATTATTTCATTCTTTTCACTCTTTTAATGATGGTAAAATCTTCAAGAAAGAAGGTCTACTATCAACTGTATCGATTTTAAGGAGTTCAAAGCACTAAATCTGACGCATTTTTTCATTTCCTAAGACTTAAACCAATGATCTTAACCAAATAGATTGTCAAGTACAATAGATGGCATTGTAGAATTTGTACACTCTCAGTACAGCTGTATTCTTATGCCACAAGTGTCAACTCAGTTTTGTGTCCGACAAAATTATTATTAACAGTGTTAATTTTGGATAATGGTACTTATCTTACAGTGAAATAAGTTTAATTTTATGTGTTCTTTATTTTCTGTTTTTTCTCTTTTCTTTATTCTTGGAAAACATGTCAACTAACGTGAGAAAATATCGGTTGCCACCTATTGTACTTGATAATCTTTTGATCTTTACAAATGGATATTGTTCGAATATTGAGTTATTAAAAACAAAATATTGAATGAATCAAAGTTTTCAACCTTGTCACTCTGGACTTCAAGACGGTTTCCGGTTTTAGACCAGACAAATCCAATTTTAGAAAACTTTTGAAGCTATATCTTCCACATTGTTAATAAGATAAAGGTTTATAGATAACCTGGGGACAAATTTTTTTTAAAAGATGATTTAAAAAAAAATTGGGGGCATTCTTATTTAATTGGGGGCATTTTTTTACAATTGGGGGTATTTCTTTTTTACAATTGGGGGCAAAAAATTATCTTGGGATCGAGAAAATTAGCTATTTTGTGAATTATATGGACCCCTGTTTAACAGTGGTCTTCCATCTTGAGCATTTAGATATATAACGATTAATCTGAGTAGCCCCCCCCCATCAGAAATATGTATCAAAGTGAGTAAATAGAATTAGTCTGAAATTTATAGAACTATAATATGAAAATTGCAGTATTCCCCCTATGAATAAGGTAAATGATATTATTGTATTTGAAGAGTATTTATATATGATTATAGCATGATATCACAATTATATCATTATTTTTCATAAATATAAAGTTCACCTTAGTAGTATAAATTTTAGTAGGCTTTAAGTTTTAACTATACTTAAAATTGAAAAGCCCAAAAAAGCAATAAAACCCAATGTGCTGCTTTTTTTAAAACTCGGTTTTTTTCCAGAGGTGGTTTAAATTTAAGCCGCAGCTCAAATTTAGCTGGTTCTGCTGAAATTTGTATTAAATTTTTCAAGATTTTAGCCGGCCCTCAATTGAAACCGGTTTTGGGGGATTTTTCAAATTCATTAAATTCGGACACTGGGCTCATTTGCGACTCACCACACAAAAGCTGGGCTTGATCACTGATCAGTTCAGCCGTTTATTATAAAAACAAAACAACATAAAAGCCACATTGTGTTTACATTAAAACTATTAGATTTCTTCACAATATATATTTATACGAAAAAAATCAATAAACAGCAGGTAGAGAATATTTTATCCCAAATAAAAATGATTTACAATGGTAACCAGAAACACAGTGCACTGATTGTTTTCTACCTTTTTTTAAAGTTTAGAATGCCACTTAAGATTCAATATTTAAAACTTATTTCTATAAAAGTTAAGAGCACATTTTTTATTTAAAAATTTTGTATTTTATTTTTCATGTTTAGATGTACATTACATAATATGATAACAAGTTATAATTCTGTCGAAAAAAGGATTGAATACAGTGGTGACCATGAAAACATGTTAATAATTGTCGTCTTCATTCTTTATATTTTAAAATGTCTCTTAAGAGTTTATATATTTTTAATATGCGTATTAATTTATTAAAGTGTGCCTTAAACACTTTTAGACATATATCATTTACAAAATAAAAAATCCATTTAGAGTCTTTTTACTTCAATTGAATTTTACCTGAAATTTCTTTTTTTAAACAAAACTCAAAAAAATTACTAATGGGAAACAGCTGATATCGAAGCATATAATTGCGAGAATAAATGGCGCATTTTTATCACTGGTTTTTTACATTTAGTTTACGCTGTACCGTATTTAGTTTACGCTGTATCGTATTTAGTTTGCGCTGCACCGTATTTAGTTTACGCTGTACCGTATTTAGTTTACGCTGTACCATATTTATATTACAAACATGATCAAAATGTAAATTTTTGATGAAACAAATCTTCCCAAAAGCGCATTTAAAATTGAAAATATTTTCGTTACACATTTGTTTCCTGAGTGAAAACCCAATATGGACTGTACAAGAATAAAAAAATAAAATTTATAATTTAATTTTGCTGGAATGTTGATTGGATTCTATTTTATTTCTATTTTTGTAATGGAAAGAGGTAGGAAAAGTTCAAAATTAATAAAAACATCAATCTTTTAAGTTGGAGTACTTGAAGTTAGTAAAAAATGGTATTGGCAAAATTAATCACAGTTTAATAACCTTTCAAATAGCGGAAGATTGGTTTATGTTTAAAACCGTTTTTTTAAAACATGTTTTTAAATTTATTTTTATCAATTTCAAATTCTTAGTGTTTATCTAGAATGTTGTTGTTTATTTAGAATAGTTCAATTATCCTTAAAAAAAAACGGTTTTCATAACTTTTGGAATTTTTTTAAAAGGCGCTAAGATTGAACATTAAGATTAAACTAAAGTTTTTAAAGAAAAAAATATTTTTAATTCAGGTAACTCAATATTTCAAGAAAATGCCGCGTGAAAATTTTGTTTATAAATCTGGATTTCAGGATTTCAAGATGACAAGGATAGACACCAGAGTTAGGCGGAACCAGGAAGAAAGTGATGAATGAAAAGATGCCACTGGGGAAGAGGAGCTTGATAAGTCACCTGAAACAGAAAAAATCTATCAATCAAGCTTTTTTTTTGCATAGTCTGGTCTTTAAAGTTAAAGAGACTATGTGTGTAAATTCAAGTGGACTGCTATACAAAGATGGCAATGCACGATTCAAAACGATACCCTTGAAACCTTTATCAGATAAATAATTTGGAAGATATTGTCGGTTTTCTAAGTTTAAAAATGTTTAATTATAAAAATTCCAAAATGTTTTTATGCAGTTAATTACGTTTACAGTCCCTTTAAGTGGAATACATTACAAAATCTAGCTAAAACATTTACAACTTCTTGAACATTTACTCTTCTTTTTAAGCTTCAAACCCCCATGTATTTCCATGAAGCTAATAAGTCGCCCCCCCCCCCCTAAAAATTAGATCATGAGGGAATTTGTGTGATTTTAGGAAAATTTATGTTCTGCTGACAAAAAAATGTGACAAGGCATTTACACTTATTGTTCGTGCCCGTGGATTTAATATAATAAGTAGTAATGTGTAATAGTGAAACCACAGCTATACATAATTACAAATATAAAATTTATATTATTATTTGCAATTTCCCCACTATGATGGAATCGATAATCATTGGTAAGATCTCCGAGAGATCGGACGAATATACCGAAAATAGGAAGCCAAGGTCGACGTGTAGATTGTTCATAGTATTCTGGTTCGGATCCAGGAACAACTCCAGGAATATCTCCAGGTACAACTACAGGTTCGATATCTTCTCCAGGAACAGGAAAGGGAAGGTCTGAAGAAGGTTCAAAGCAACTACCTGATAAAAAAGTAATGTAGAAATATTTTGGAATATTTTTCAGAAAAAATAAAAAAAATGATGTAAAGAAGTTTTGCAATCTTTGACAGAATTATATTTTTTTTAAAAGTTTTGTCAACTTTTTTCATACTTCTCCTATTAAGCGCCATCCCAACTGCCTGAACTCTGACTCCTCTCCTGCAATCACTGCCTGATTCAGCTAGGTATACTTTACCCTAGAGATTAAATATTATGATAATATTATTTCTTAAAGGGACTGTAGACATTATTTCAAGTGACCTTTCAAGTCTGATTTACGACGGTGCACTTTAAAAGTTTAAACCTGTATCTAAGTACTAACTAGGAAGATAAGTCTTTTTTATTCTGTCAATTTTAGACGATTAGAATTTTGACAACTTCCTCCTAATTGCCTTTCCAGCATAATTTCGAAAATCACTTATATAAAGTTATATAGAGAAACCAAAATTGAAAATAATCAGTTTTAAGCTAGACAAATAAGAATATCTGTGAACAGGTAAAGGCTTTGGTACATCGTGAATCAGACACATCACTTTATAAATGTAGGGTCACATCAAATTACGTCTGTAGTCCCTTTAAATCAGCAGTAGTTAGTTTAAGAAACTACTGGAAAACCCAGCATATAAGCGAATAGTATCAATAGGCAGAATTAAAGGGTTCGCGAAAAATAGAATTTTAAATATTTTTTTAATCAAGCTTTTTAAAAAATACCGAGAGCTCATATTTAACTTTTTTACTTTATCTGCGCTTCGGGACCAGATTTAATTAATAGCCAGAAGTAGCTTAACCATGCAGAGCTAGTTCAACCCCTTCCAGTTCATGATAAAGATAACTCTTTGAACCACGCAAGAAGTAGCTCAACCACGCAGAGCTAGTTCAACCCCTTTACAGTTCATGATAAAGATAACTCTTTGAACTACGCAAGAAGTAGATCAACCACGCAGAGCTAGTTCAACCCCTTTACAGTTCATGATAAAGATAACTCTTTGAACTACGCAAGAAGTAGCTCAACCACGCAGAGCTAGTTCAACCCCTTTACAGTTCATGATAAAGATAACTCTTTGAACTACGCAAGAAGTAGATCAACCACGCAGAGCTAGTTCAACCCCTTTACAGTTCATGATAAAGATAACTCTTTGAACTACGCAAGAAGTAGCTCAACCACGCAGAGCTAGTTCAACCCCTTTACAGTTCATGATAAAGATAACTCTTTGAACCACGCAAAAAGGAGCTGAACCACGCAGAGCTAGTTCATCCCTTTTACAGTTCAAGATAAAGATAAGTGTTTGAATCACGTCTATGCTGTTCAACCATGTGTCGCCATTCATTAAATTTGGTCCTTGAAAAATGATAATTATTGTTGATAAAAGCCTAATAACAGTTTTTACCTGAGAATTAGTTTGACCGACAAAGCATTCATAACCATCAATATCTTTCCTAGACAAGGTTTAAGAAAATATAAAAATAAAGAATTTAAATTTTCATATAATTTAAGAGTTCATCAAAGCAAGGTCGGCAAATGATCCGCAATCCCTTTAAATGATTAAATCTTTATCCAAGCACCGATGACAGAGATGTCTTCGCACGCAGCTCGTCGATTTATAAAAATCAATAGAATGACCCAAACTGATCTCATTGCAGATAGATTTGGGTTGTCTGAATCCAATTAAAATCAAAACGGCTGAACCGATCGGGTCCATTTTTTTATGGAAACCCCAGGGAAGGTTTATGAACTTTCAAAGATGCGATTCATTTGTATTCAGAGAGTATCAAAAGCAAACGCTTTAATTAAGATCCAAGAAATGGCAAAGTTTATATTGCAGTACAGTACGCTAATTGTTTACCTTCGTGTGTAAGTATACAGTACACCATCCTCCATCCATTCTCCCAAACATTGATATTCTCGTTCTAAAATATATATAAATATCACAATGGTTCTTGCCACAGTAGGAAAAATTATTCAAAATGTTTTCGCTTGTTCTACTTTAAATTGTTGTCAACGAAAGCGTTTTAAATAAAAAGGTAAAAAAACAAAGATTGTTGAATTATGCGATTGAATTCAAACTGATGAAACCAAACCTAATCTAGTCATGGTTAGTCCAGGGTGATATTAAATCCCAGCAGTCGCCAAAATTAAATAGATTTTAAATGATTTACAAAATGTGAAAGATGTTTGTGATTATTATTATTACTATTATATTAACTTAATTTCATGCTTATTAATTCCCCTGTGCACTAAAAACATTAAATTACAAAAAAACTATAACATGCAAAAATGTAGTTATCTTCTGATCACAACCATGAAAATATAAATTTTTCTTTAAACAAACAGTAATAAAATGAAAATAGAGCAAAATCAAATAAATCTTAAGTACAGGGTTACTCACCAAAAATGAGCATTTAATGACGACCTCAAGTTCTTTCAATTTAATAATCAGTAGTTAAATTTGATTTATGTATCGGATAAAGTCAAAGAATTAAACAGAGTACAAAAGTGAACAGCTGTAGAAAATCATTTCTTAAGTCCCATCTTTTGTGGATATCCCTGTCTGTACATACTGATAATTTTAAATTAAATCTTTGGACTAAAAGCTGTCGCAATCTAAAAGTATAAATGTTTTTTGATAATATTTTTTTAAAAAAAACCCTGATAATAAAAGAGATCTGGTTCCAGGTTTAGAGTATTTTAAAGGAACTATAAGCCGTGATTTTAAGCCATTAAAAACAGAGAGAGAGTCATGTCTGATTTACAACGGTACCATTAAAAGCGTTGTCTTGTCATGCATGAATGAAATATCCATATTTATCTCCTTAACATTTCTTTTTTCATTGGTTTCTTTCCTTAAGTAATTTGCGCATTTCGGCTGTAGAAACAATGGAGAAAATTATCAGAATTGAACCTTTTTAACCAATAAAAACGACGATATCTTCCACATTGTTAATAAGATAAAGGTTTATAGATAACCGTTTTTCATTTTTGGTTTCTTTTCTGAAGTAATTTGTGCATTTCGGCTGCAAAAACAATGGAGAAATTTAATAAAATTGAACCTTTTTACCCAAGAAAAACAACGATATCTTCCACATTGTTAATAAGATAAAGGTTTAAAGATCACCGTTTAATCGGGATCATGAACTAAAATATAGAACAGTTCCCATCTGTTAGATCAGTATAAGATCTAGTTCCCATCTGTTAGATCAGTATAAGATCTTCAAATTATGGAAAATTGTTCATACATGATGAATAAGTATAGTGCTTAAATTAAAAGATCATTCCTTGATTTGTTACTAGCATAGAGAATAGAATATATAGAGAGGAATTTACTAGAAAAAAGTGTAAAACGTGTAAAAAAGTAATCGTGGAGTTAATAGATTCGGACAGATGCTTCCAAGGAGCTCCTATAAAACCCGTGGGAAAGTACAAGTTCATAAACCTGGCTAATAGAATGTTGCAGCAGGACTCGGCCAAAGAGCCCTGTGTAGAGAATTTCCCACGGGTTTTAAAAGGAATAGACAGTTGNTAGAGTTTGCCATTCGCAGATTTTTCCCGTTATATAGAATATATCCAAACGTTACACATTATTGTAACGTAACGTACAAAAACGTACATTTTACGTTACGTTACACTATCGTTGACATCTCTACCGTGTACAGTGTACATGTTCCATCACCAAATGTACATTTAGTCAAGGTAATAAGGCAAGGAACGTTAATTGCTGTTGGGTATTCACTGCGTACATATTGAAACCAGTTCTCTCCATGGGCTGTGTTTGTAAACAGAATAGATGCATCACTGTTCCTCAAGTATCCTAGGAGGGGGTTACAATGGAAAATTTACTTCTGCTCAGTAATGCCTGTGAAAAAATGAGCATAATAGACGACAACATTAAAGTCTGATGGTTTATTTCTGTTCTTATGATTAATGAGGCTTTTAAAAGATTTTCAACATAAAAGACGTCGTGATCCTATTTTTATGTTTATTGGGTCTCAATGTTAGACAATTTAAAAAAATGCATAAGTTTTTCTGTAATTTTCCTTACTGTATCATATAATTGAACCCATTGCTACAAGTACGCTGAAACTTTACATTTGTTTAACTTAAATCTTTTTATGAATTAATTACTAATGGATGTTGCTAGAGATAAAAGTATTTAAAACGATGGATCCCATGTCAAGCTAAGACACCCCTACATTTGTGTTTACTTTACAGCCAAGAGACAGTACACTGCAGTACAAAAAATGCTTACACCTCTGAAATAAATACATTATGGTTCTTTGCATTTAGTGAAGAATCTCTTCTCATCCTTACAGACAGTGTAGCGTGTGTACAGTGTGCAGTGTAAAATGTACAAAACGTGTACAAGTACTAGTGCAGTATGTATCTTCCATCCCTCATGTGTATACAGTAGTTTACAATGCTTTGTATACCCATAACCAAACGTAGTGCTGTCCATTCTGTTCAACTGTACAGTGTATAATGTACTATGTGAACACTGTACAGTTTCCTTTATAAACTTAGAGAATATACTGGTATACCTTCAGCAACCTTTAGGGAAGAAAATGTAGGAAATATCCTCACATCTCTAATCTCTAAAACCTCTTGAGGACTTGAAATGGGCTCCAAGGTGTCGAGAACGACACTTTCGATTTCAAAGGGTGGATAATTCAAATCTGCAGATTCTTGCCGTCTTTCCAAAGGCATCTTTTTTGAGAGGGGGGTAGGGGGTAAACCAAAAACATTCAAACTTGTTAGTCATAAACAAACTAGCTTTTTCTTTGTTCTTTTTTTATTTTGTTTAATTTCTGTTTTTTTAAATAGGATAAAAAATAGATAAGAATTGTTCTTTGACGTAATTTTTATTTATCTATTTTTGCAAAGAAATTATATTTCTTAACAAAATAGTTCAGTGAATAGCCCAACAAAAAAAAAAGATTTTCTTTCTGCCTGAAAGTATTTGTAGAATACATCCATGCTGATGTTGTTCTTGTTGGTCGGATTGAGGTTGGGTGGGAAAACATGTTGTTAACAGGGAAATACGTTCTGTAAATTTTCTCTAAAACTGGGACCAAAATATTTATCTAAAATCCGGGTAAATTCAAAATTAAATTACTACTTAGGAAATAATTTTATCATTTCATTTAGATTAAAATTTAGTTAAGTTTTCTTGTGTATTCATTGGGTCAAAATTTTGGGGTACAAAATTGGAGTTAAGGTTAAGATTAGAGGGGTGAGAGGTCACACGAGAAATCTGTTTCAAATTTAGTGAAAAAACCTTGGAGAAGAATATTCAAATCTTGAGTTCTCTGTTGGATTATATCCATCTTTCAGTCTATCTTCATTCTCATCCCATCTTATTTTCTGTCTATCTACAGTTTGATTCAGTCTATCTCTTGATCTTTCTGCAATCTGATCAAAACCATCTCTTGGTCTATCTGTAATCTGATCCAAACCGTCTCTTGGTCTATCTGCAACCTGATTCAAACCATCCTTTGGTCTATCTGCAATATTATCCAAACCTTCTCTTGGTCTATCTGCAATAAGATCCAAACCTTCTCTTGGTCTATCTGCAATAAGATCCAAACCTTCTCTTGGTCTATCTGTAATAAGATCCAAACCTTCTCTTGGTCTATCTGCAATAAGATCTAAACCTTCTCTTGGTCTATCTACAGTTTGTTCCAATCTTTCTCTCGGTCTATCTGCAATCTGATACAATAACTTTCTAGGGTTATCTGTCTCATCCACTCCATGTCTTAGTTTTTCTGTAACATCTTTTATGTTTCGTATGTCTCCTTTGAATTGATTAAATGCTTTGTTAAGTATAGTTGACACTAAAACAGAACCTATTCTTCTTCGATCTCCAGTCAGAGAAATTCCTTCTTCAGATTCTTCTGTTCTCTTAAGAATCACTTCCTCAAGGATTTCATTAGCTGCAGATGTATCCTCAACTTTGTCAACAGGGTTCTTAACTTTCTCCGGGTCTTTGATCCAATAGAAGACTGGATCAGGAAGACCATCACGGTTTGAACCCCTGTAATGCCTGGAGGAGACGGTGGACGGAGTTAGCTCCAGGTAGGATCCAGAGCTGGTCCAGGGATTAAAGGGATCATAAACCTGACTGGGAGTATATTTGGTCTCTGATCTTTCACTCCGTTTAAGAATTGATCTTTTACGCAGAGGTCGGATAGAGGCAATATACTCTGGTCTTTTTATCCAAACAATATTAGTGTTCTCGTCCCACGTCATAGTGGTAGGATTAGGATTAGAAAATCCAGATTCAATCCTAGTTTTATTAAAACTAGTTTCATGATGAGAATATCCATTGTTATTCCCAGTTTCAGGTTGAGAATATCCATCTTTAATTCTAGTTTCAGGTTGAGAAAATCCATCTTTAATCCCAGTTGATTGATAATACCCATCTTTAAATCCAGTTTCAGATTGAGAATATCCATCTTCAGGCCTAGTTTCAGGATGAGAATATCCATCTTCAATCCGAGTTTTAGGATGAGAATATCCATCTATACTCATAGTTTCGGGATTTAAATATCCACCTCTTCTATTTCCATCTGAAGGAAATATAAAATTTGAATTTTCTTGAAAACCTTGATTTCTTATTTCTTCCTCCTTTTTCTCCTCAACACCTTTATAAACTATAATTCATGCTTTTCTTGAAACTCAACAGCAAAACGAACTTAAAGGGACTGTCGACGTAACTTCACGGGACCCCGAATTCTCAATTCACAACGGTACCTTTAAACGCTTGTTTTTCTATCGAATATTGCAGATTTTTGAAAGGGAAGAAAATTGAGAGAATATATTTTAAGGCATAAAAACTGACAATATCTTCCGCACTGTATTGAGTTAAAGGGAGTGGTCGCGAAAAATGAAAGGGGGTATAGGCTTAATGCGATAAAAAAGCGTTTTTGATTGCTACTAATCTTACTTCTATCTGTTGCGTCTATAAGGAGTAAATTGCTAAAAACGACTCACACCGAAGAACGCAGCGCCCATACAAATTCGGAAAATTGCAACATACGACTTAGACCGTAAAAAATCAATTTAATTTCAAACAAAGCATTCAGATATTACAACCTGTAGTCATCGATTATCTTTCGCCACATTCGTATATAGTTTGTATTTTATAATAATATAATGTATTCAACTCTGATCGTAAACAAATCAATTTAATTCAAAACAAATCATTCAGATATTACAAACAATAGTCATCGGTTATTTTTCGACGCATTCATGTATAGTTAATATTTCATAATATTATTGATTTTGTTTTTTTAAATTCGTTTTCAATTTCGCTGGATTTTCGAACATTCCTGGAAAATATGAAAATGTCGTCTTCATTATCAAAAATCCTCGAAACAGGAAAACATGTAACTATCAGATCATGAAAAATACAAAATATTATGAAATATCAACTATTTACGAATGCGATCAAAAGCGCTTTTTTTATCGCATTAAGCCTATACGCCCTTTCATTTTTCGCGAACACTCCCTTTAAGACTGTACGTACACAGAGCACACACCGGTTAAACTAAGTTTAAACACAAACATCTCTATTCATGACGAACATACAAAGGTACCGTTTGATATCGGGCATCGCCCTCTTTGCATAAAGGGTCACTTAAAATAACGCTTTCTGTCCCTTTAACGCCTTTAAATTGAGGTTCACTTAAAATTACATAGACAGTCCTTTTTTAATCATAAAAAGATTTGTTACTAAAACAAGTCTATGAAAAAGCGAACGACAGGACAAATACAATGTACACATTACACAATGATACATGCTTAAGCCAACGTTTATGTACATTGAAAAATGCTTGTACATGATACTGTACAGTGTACATACCTTGGTATATGTTTGTACGGTTACTGCAGTCACTGACGGAGTAGAACATAGTGTCGGGTTTGTAGCAGTCTGACGTCATCTGGGGGAGTATCACGTTTCTTTTTTTTAAAGTCTTGAATCATTTTTTTTGCATACGGAAGTTAAATATTTTTAATTTTTTAATAAATGCAGAACTGCAAAAATAATATTGTCTAAGAATAAATTTGCGAAAAATTTAAAAATCAAAACCCTGGACGATGATTGTTACTAAAGTGATTAGAGTAATAATGACAAACAAAACGTTGTTTAAGGATTATCTCTGTATGGAATAATTTAGGGGAAAAAATCATAATGACATAAAAATTTCAAAAAATACCAAATGAAGAATTAAAATTCGAAAGTTTGAACTGAGTACTTTCCTTGCCACAGAGACCTGGCGCATCCGGTAGCGCGCCGACGAACTCACCGGATATAGGACAGGATACGGCTTCTACAGGGTTCTGCCGAGCCTAGAAAAATAAAACCAGTTTTTTTTTGCGAATTCTGAAATAAGTCCTTAGACGAAGTTATTACGGTTGATAATGATTTCTTTTCCATATTACTGTACAAAACCGGACTTCTAAAACCCAATGTTCTTTCTGGCGGAGCCAACTGACAGTTATCACTATCACGCCGTCGGTTACAATGTACAGGCGGAGAAATTTTGATTTATGGGGTTTCTCAAAATATCTTTACGAAACATCGAAAAGAAATTAAACCAAAGCAATAACAAAAATGATCTTTAAAAAAATATGATTTTAAAAAGATGAAAAATATTCAGTTGGAAAGATTAACGGATTCGAAATTGATAATTAATTAGTAAAAGCTTTGTATAATCTTATAAATTATATATAAATGTTATAGTTTTGAAGAAGGCTTTTTTTCTAGTAGTTTACAAAACTTACTTGCAACATTTCTACTGCAGGAAAAAAATTAAGAATTATCAGAACTTGACACTTTTAAAATCACGACAATTTCTTTTGTTTACCTGGGTGAACCATGTTCTCTGAAGGAAATGATCATTATCACAGTGGTTGAAGGAAGGGGATTGAGAAGGACGGAGACCAAGTTGGAATTCTAGAATATTCGATCCTCGTTCTTCAAACCAGACGCAGTTATACAACTCCTCACCACTGCACACATTGGTAATCCTCTCTTTATTATTTGTAACAATCTGTTCATTATTTCAATATTTGTAACGATTAGTTCAATATTTGTAAAGATTCGTTCATTATTTCTAACGATATGTTTATAATTTTTAACAATTTGTTATTTGTTTGTAACGATTAGTTTATTCTTTGAATCGATTATCTTTTTAATTTTAACAATTTGTTCATTACTTGTAATAATAAGATAATTCTTTATTATCATTTCTAACTTTAGGTTCATGTATCTAAATCAATGTGATTCTGTATGATTTAAAGAATGTCTCTTATAATCTATATAATAAAATAAGACATTCGTATATATGTTGCGTATAGCAGGCCAAACGGCTGAACCGATTGGGCTGAATATTTTTGTGGACACTCAGGGGTTGTTTTAGTAAAAAAATTCGAAATTTTTTTTCTCAAACATTTAAAAAAAAAATTTTCCACGGGCAACGCCGGGCCCTTCAGCTTGTTGATTAATAGTAGTAATAATTTAAGCATTGATTATCAACCAGTAAACTGTAGTGCATATATCTAACCAGAAAACAGAGGAACGATTTTTGTCTTCTTTTTTTAAATTCTAAATGTCGCCAAGAATTTTTAAATAATATCTTTCGTAATTTAAAGAACAAAGACGATGCAATTTCCCTGTTTTCTGTATGATGGGCACACTTCACGTCTTTACTGATAAAAAATACGAACCATTGTGTTCTTGCGTAGATCAGAAATCTGTTCTTGTTCTTCTCTGAACCCTGGCATTCAATTGAAAAGCTAATTGCAGATAAAAATTACCAAACGGAAGACGACATTTGTTTTAAAATTTCAAAAATTTAACAAAATATGGTTAAGCTTAAAAATTGCCTGAATACACTGTGCCGAGTAGGTCTTGAAATTCTTTTTGTCCTAGAAAATGGTCATGTGAAAATTAAGAACATTTTAGAATCAATCTTATGTGGTCAAAGTCTTAGTTTTTAGCAGATCTTGAAGATCAAAGAAGATCTTTTGACTTAAATATCATGTTTAGTGGGGCACCCTGTATTATACATTCGTCGTCGTATATATCAGTACAATAAACCAGGACTTTCTATTTTGATTTTACCGAGCTTTTAAACAGCTTGAATACACATAAAAATGGAAACATAGAGAAGCTGTCAATTAACAGATTCTTTAAATGTTTACTTGTAAACTTGTTATTTGAAAAAAGCTACAAAGAAATCAAAACCTAAATATAAGATTCATCATCATTGTATTGATAGAAACGCCGACAACTATACCTGGAAAACCATTGTATGATCGTTTATATAAAGATCCTCCCAATATCCTTCAGTCCATGCAGGAAACCTAAAATATAAAAATAATATTAATATATTTTTTCTATATTAGAACATATATTGAATTAAAAAACTTAAATAATATGCAGTGTTTCCTATTATCGCTATATATACTTTGCTTGTCTGTCTGTTTGTATCCAATAAACGGCTGAACTGATCGGGCCCAAATTTTTTTTGGGACCTCGCGTGTTTCCAGGGAAAGTTTATGAATATGATGATCGAATTTTCAAAAATTTGTATCTAAAAAAACTGAAAATTTTGCTAAATCCACGATTTTTTTGATAAAATCCGCGAAATTTGTTTTGGTTTTAAAATGTTTAAAAAGAACATGTTCACATAATTTATTCATTTAATTATTTGTTTCATGAAGATTAATGTGTGAAGGATTAAGATCTTTATTAAACGCAGTCTTTACATAAAGTGTTGAGAGACTACTAGCGACTACTAGCGACTACTAGCGACTACTAGCGACTACTAGCGACTACTAGAGACTACTTAAGACTACTAGAGACTACCAGAGTCTACTAGAGACCACTAGAATCTACTAGAGTCTACACGAAAGGCTACTAGAGACTTCTAGGGACTACAAGAGGCTACTAGAGGTTATCAGAGACTACCAGAGCTGAGGCTACTAGATACTCCTAAAGACGACTAGAGACTACTATAGAGGTTACTAGAGACTACTAGAGTATACGAGAGACTATTAGAGACTACTAGAGACTACTAAAGACTACTAGAGACTACTAGAGACTACCAGAGACTACCAGAGGCTACTAGAGGCTATCAGAGACTACTAGAGACTAAAAGAGGGTTTTAGATGCTACTAAAGGCAGCTAGAGGTTCGCAGAGGGTAGAGGAAACTAGAGGCTACTATAGAGCATACTATAGATGCTACTAGAGGATAATATAGACTACTAGAATCTTCAAGGCTAACCTGCATCTTGTTTTTGTGACAAGGCTTGGCCAGGCCGAAGTTGGTTTAAGACGGAGTGTGTACTGTTCATATCCCTAAAATAGAACATTCAAAAAAGCTTATTTTCATCTTATAAATAAGGAATGTGTGATCAGTGACAGTATACATTCAAATCTTTGTTATAAAGATTTGTTGAAATTAGTGAAGTATGCAAATAAGGTCGTCTTGACATGAAGTGTATGTTGGTGAATACTTTTGCCTAGCAAAAGTTGATCAACGACGAATTAAGGCACACTTTTGTGTTTCTGGGAAAATTTGTTATATTTTTCAGAAAAAAATAATATTTTAATAACTATGGTAGAAATTACGAGATTCAAAATATTAAGTACAAACTTTGGATTAAGATATTAATTCACCCTTAAAGTCACACCCTTGTGGGGTTGACCCTGTATAGAAATAATAATTAAACAAAAGACGACATTTATCTCCGACTTGTATGAATGTTACCTCTGTCGAAGACTTGAGATGATTGGTGCAGGTGGAATCCTAAGTCATACCATTTGTAAAAAAATGGTGTTTCACAGAATTTTATCAACTAAAAAAAACTTCATTTATCTTCAATAAAGCAGCCTTTTTTTAAATTTTGTACTATGAAATTAATGTTTTTGAACCAAGTTTACAAACTTTCTTTTAAAGAATTTTAACCAAAAAGATTATTACCATTACATTTTTCATTAAGTTTGTTTTGATAAAATTTAACGAGTTCTTAACAAAGCTCAACTACTCAATCCAAATTCAATTTATGAATCTAAAAATTGTAATAAAATTTATACGTGATTAAAACTTTTTAATGGATGATTTAAATCCCTGAGAAAGTGCTAGATATATCTCCCCTGTACCAGGAACCTCGCTGTACAACTAAAATGATAATAATTATTATTCCGTTTGTATGGGTTTCAAAACCCAATTTTTTTTTAAATGTTCAAGGAACTATTTTTAAGACCTACAAAGGTAAAATTGAAGAACAGAATGGAATTGAGTCATAGCCATCCAACAAAATTGTGTAAACCTGTGATATTTCAAACTTTGAATATTTGATCTACCCGAATTCATAGTTTTAAGTATCCGAGGTTTACGACATTGGGTTGCAAAGATTTTGGGGTTAGACAATCAGAGTTATTAGCAAAGAGTAAATTCAATTATTTCCTCCTAACATAAATTACATAAATGAGAAACCCTCGACGATAAAATTCATTCAGAACTTCGCCCTGTTAAAAATTATTAAACATTTAAAGATGATTAGGGAAATTTGAAAAACTTCAGACCACTTACAAAAATAAATACAATGTGAAGCTGTAAATGTTCATTGTTCAGTCATTGCAAGTAAAATCAGAAAAAAAGTCGTCTTACAAATTTTAAATCAAAGATCGCTATAATGGATTTTGTAAATACGTTCTGCGGTTATATCTTCGAGACATTTTTCAAAACATTTTTAGAAAAAAATTCATAACATCTTACAAAATACAAAAGCTTTTTTTATTTCTAATTAAAAGGTTAAATAAAGATGATTTTCATTCCTCTTTAAACTGGTATGAAAAGGTTACGCGAACTCAAAGTTAAAGGATTTGAATAAGCCACATATGTGTCTATAAAAATGTGTTTATTAAGCTAGGGTGCATCAATTTAAGAAATAAAATATTTAATTAGTCTAAGCAAACCAAGCCTCTAAAATTATCATCTTAATTATACAGGATCACCGTTTTTAAATTGATTGTTTATGTTGGGAAATTTTTTTAAAAAAAAAGGCAACTATGTATATTTAACTCTTTTAGGAGATTGTTATTTAATCCTAGAATCTTTAACAATGCTTTAACTTTTTAATAATTCTTGGATTCACTTGGACTTGAATTTTTCAAAATAGTTTTATGTATTTTGAGGAATTTTTATTTTCAATACAATAAAGAAACAGTTTGAGAGAGTTGAGCACCCTAGAGCTCCGGGGCTTGAAAATGCATTTGTTGTAATTGATGCCTGCAATAGTGCTTATTCAATTTTCAACCTACCCCACATCTATACTTAGGTCCGCTTGTATCCGGTCCAGTCTCAAGAAACCCGATATAAGACTCCGTCTGATCCCTTCCAGGCCAGCTACCCAGACACTCAAAACCGGTTTCTCGACTAGGAAATTTTCCAGATTAAACCAGATATGGAGGACTTTCCGGGTAAACATGGCGCTGGGGCATGGGATTCTGCATGGTGAAAATAAAAAGAATATGTGGAGAGAAAATTTTATAACATGTGAATTTGAAATAACTAACTAGTCATAAACTCTTCAATTTTTTTTACATCTGAAAGAATAAAATTAAAAATTTAATTTGAATATGACAGGGTATTCCGATAAACATGGGGATTATGAATTAAAATCGATATAATGTCTAATGTTTGATAAATGATAAAAATTTTTACCAAAAATATGTTTTTCCTATTTAAGCTTATATGAACATGGGAATTAAGTGACGACTTTTATTATTTATATCGTCTTCGATCCATGTAGCATTTTTTCATGAACATAATAATTGCAGAATTCCAGTTTACACATCTAATATCGAAAACGCCTGATCTTAAGATTTTCAAATGAGATCTACCATTTTTGTATCTTCAAAATTGACAGAGATATTGCAAAATCAGTACAAATCTCAAATTATTTAATAAATTGTCTTAACTGATATCTTTTTCAATTTTTAAGACACGAGAAAGGTATAGACCACTTTATGAAAACGTACAGCTTCATTTTCATACTTTCTCTGCCATGCATTAAAAATCAGAAATCAAAGACGACTTTCAAGTCGTCTCTCAATTCCCATGTTTATTAGGACGCCCTGTATCTTATTTTTGTCATTAAAATTGACGGAAATGTAATATAATAAAATCAAATATGAGGTAGGAACTTTTGTGCGGAGTATTGTTCATCTCGATATCCAATGTGGGCACTCTTAAATTTAAGGATAAATGCTTTATCCTCAATTAAAGTTATCCTTGCGCGGTATGACCACCACGGGATATCCCAAGATTTACAACACAAAAGTTGAGATCTTCTGGGCAAACTTCTTGATATCTAAACTCTATAGTCGTCGTTGTAAAGATCAATACAGTGAAGACGACTTTCAATTTTGATTTCTACCAATCTTTCAAAAAATGTAAACAAAAAAACTGTCAATTAACAGTTTTTCTTTGTTTCCTTGAAAAATTGTCAGCAGAAAATACTTTTTAAGGATCAAAGCATTATTTATAAAAAGTTGTCTCCATTGTATTGTTAAAATCGCCGACCAAAGTACTACAACTTTAAAGGAGCAAAACATTGGCTGACCGATTTGTAAATTCCGAGATAAAGAGTTTTTATTGTAAAATATTTCACAGCAACACTCATAAAATTGTGTTTAAAAATAAATGCTGCATACACCAAAGACGACAAAATTGTCGTCACTTAAATCCCATGTTGGTTGGGACACCCTTGTCACTCAATTTCTGTGTATTTTGAGAAACACGTTACCTTCCAAAGTTACAACCATTGTAGCTGAGGTTCAATCTGGAACCCAGGGGGCAGTTTGACAGCCTCGACATGTCAGAGGTGCACGAGGACGGGGTGGAGGTAGGGAAGGAGAAGGTGGATGAAGAGGAGGTGGATGGGGTGGGGGACTGAATGTAGTTAAATGTGTATTGTCCATTGATAGGACAGTAAGAAGGGACAGTTCCTAGTCCACCTTCTCCATCCTGAATCCCTGCATTCATCATTCATCATTCATCATTCATCATTCATCATTCATCATTCATTATTCAAAGTATTTCTTATTAGCCATTTTATTGTCATTCGTCATTTTTCAATCAGCAAAGATCATTGCTCATGCATTTTTTATCATTTTTACGACATTTTTAACTTACTGTAGAGAATCCTTGTATGTATTTGATTGTAAAGATTGTACAGAACCTCCTGGTCTGTAGGACAGCTTTGTACAGCTGTACTCTCACGAGTATAACATTTATCTAAACTGCGAGAGTACACCTAGGAAAAAGATTAAATATTTATTAAAATTGATGCGATGTATTATAATATTATGTGTCACTAGCTGAAGTGCTCGGCGTTGCCCTTGGAATTCTTAAAAACTTGGGTGAACAATCGCATTTTTTTAAAAATCGAAATTTAATAAAAATATTCCATTTTTTTAGCCTGTGTAAAAATAATTCAGCCAGTTTGGTCCAACCGTTCGCCCAGCTATAGAGCTAAAATAAGAGCTTTAATATAAAGAAGATAGATATGGAGGTTTTTATATGAAAGACTAAAAGAAATACAGATTAAGAGAAAAAATTAAATAAAAATCCTGAAGAAAATTGACAAAATGGAGTATTGAATAAATGGATTAAATACTAGGAAATTATAATTCATTTGAGGCAGTATTGAATTAATTTATGAATTAAATACCTCCAGTATTGAATGAATGGATGAATTAAATACCTATACAGTATTGAATGAATGAATTAAATACCTACAGTATTGAATGAATGAATTAAATACCTACAGTATTGAATGAATGAATTAAATACCTACAGTATTGAATGAATGGATGAATACCTGCAGTATTGACTGAATATATTAATTAAATAACTACAGTATTGAATGAATGAATTGAGAACCTGCAGTATTGAATTAAATACCTGCATTATTGAATGAATGAATTGAATACCTGTAGTATTGAATTAAATACCTCCTGTATTGAATTAAGTACCTCCAGTATTGAATTAAATACCTGTAGTATTGAATGAATGGATAGGATGAATACCTGCAGAATTGAATTAAAGGATGAATTGAATACCTACAGTATGGAAAGAATAGATGTCTTGAATACCTGAGGATGAGTACCTACAGTATTTAATGAATGAATAAATTGAATGCCTGCAGTATTGAATGAATGAATTAATTGAATACCTGCAGTACGGAATGAATGGATAGGATGAATACCTGCAGTATTGAATGAATAGATGTATTGAATACCTGAGGATGAGTACCTACAGTATTGAATGAATGAATAAGTTGAATGCCTGCAGTATTAAATGAATGAATTAATTGAATACCTGCAGTACGGAATGAATGTATAGGATGAATACCTGCAGTATTGAATGAATAGATGTATTGAATACCTGAGGATGAGTACCTACAGTATTGGAATGATTGAATAAATTGAATGCCTGCAGTATTGAATGAATGAATTAATTGAATACCTGCAGTACGGAATGAATGGATAGGATTAATACCTGCAGTTTTGAATGAATAAATGTATTGAATACCTGTAGTATTGAATGTGATCGTAAGATAAGTCTTAAACACCTAAAGCAGTTTATAACCGACTGCTTTAATATAATATTTCTTCCAGATTTCCTAAATACATATATCGTTAAACAATAAATTAGAATTTTCATTTAAAGCCTTAAAATCTATTGAAAAGGCCTAATGTGTGTCTATGACAAACATTAGATTGCATACTCTGAAAACCAGATAAAGCTGTAATAGGAAGTTTTAGACTCAAAGTATCACTTTATAAGAAGTCTAAAATATATAAAATTGTGACCCTAAACTTTGTGGCTTTAAAAGTTTAAATCGACTTTTATCACGGATTTCCAAAGAAAACCAGGGCTTGAAACTTATCATTTTTTCTTGATAATTTGAAGATTGAAGTAGAGTAAAAAATAAAACGTGAAAATAATCTGTAAAAACATCAGTTTTCTGGGTTACCCAGTGCCATGTTGATATAAAAAAATATGATTTTTTCAAGATATAAGATTATATTTGTTTCAAAGATATCAATTCTATTCAAATTTTTCAAATCGCATATTTCCTTACAGCAATACTTCTAACAATCATACAATAAATAATTTAAACCCCATGTTCTACCATAAATCACTATTTTTGGTATTAAACCGTTTTTTTAAACAAAAAAAGGACAATTATAAAGTTTTAACGGTTTTTAAATGAAAGAGGTTTTTCCAGAACGGCAATATTTATATCTTTTTTTCGTAGATTTTTTTTTTCCTTTCAAGGTTTCAAAAGTAAAATTTTTTTTAATTTAAAGTATTACTAAAGGGATTAAATAAGGGAAAGAAGTTGGATTGAGAGAAAAGTGAGTACTTAAACACCTGTAGCACTCCCCCCAGTTAGGTATAGAGTTGGGGAGTACATCCACCCTGGAGTAGTCAACTCCTCCACCCTACACAAACACAAGGGAGTTTACATCTCTGTTCTTAAAGTTACTGTTCTCGTAATTTTAAGCGATCATCTATTTGAGAAATGGAATATTCGATTCAAAATGTTACCCTTTAAAAACCTTGTACGAGAAACAATGAGAAAGATATCTTCGTTTCTTCATTATGAGAAGCATGACATATTCTGGCAATTTCTTAAATCGCCTCTGCAGCAAAAATCCTCAATTTCATATTCATAAAGAAGACAAAATTGAAAATAAAGGAACCAAAATTGAAAAAAATCAATTTTCAGCTAGAAACAAGAGGATATCTCAATCATCCTTAATAGAACAAAGGTTTATCGGTTTCGCTGTGAAACGGACTATGTCACTATCTATCTATTATGACTCCCCAATAACACGAATGCTATCACGTAACCACCCCTCCATGCAACCCTATGCCTCCTTCCGGAGAACGTGGATCACAAGAATCACAAAGAGAGTAAAATTACTACTGAAGTACTTTAAAATTAAAATTGAAAAAAATTATTAACAAACTATATTTGATTTCAGTTTTTAGTAAATTTATTCTGGTAATTTTATCTTTGATTTTACTTTAACAACTTTTTCTTAACTGCACACCTGTATTAGCTGGGACTGTGTGAGATAAACCCCCTGGTATTCTGCAGATATATAACAACTACATGTAATAATAATAATAATAATAATAATAATAATAATAATAATAATAATAATAATAATAATAATAATAATAATAATAATAATAATAATAATAATAATAATAATAATAATAATAATAATAATAATAATAATAATAATTATAAGTAAATGAAAAACAGAAAAAATGCGAACATTAATAATAAATAAATATATCTAAGCCTGACTGATTGGTAAAAATCAATGAAAATTATGAAATTTTGTAAATCATGCATGGTACAGAGTTAAAATTAAACAACGACGAATTTAATTAGTTTCTCACTAGCGTCTAGCATTTTTATTTTTTTAATTTTAGATACTTGTCTTTAATTTGTACAAGTTTATCCGTAAGCATTGCCTTTAGAGACGATTTTAAAGAGATCGTTCATTAAGTCAAATCAAATAGCTTTTCTCTTTTAAAAAATATAATCCATGACATGTTAATATTTTTCTGAATTCAACCAACAGATGTAATCAAAAAGTTTCAGGTCGTCATTTCAGATTCATTCTTTATGGTTAAAACCCTGTTACACCTCCTTTCCATAAAATATTTTGTTCCAACAATTGCAATTGCTTGCATAAAGGTTGTAATTACATAAATGGGTTGCTTGTATAACTTGAGTTTTATGGTTCTCCGTTTCCCGCATGATTTTGAGGCCATTGGAGTATTAACATTATCAGTGTTTATAATTTTACAGGATTCAAGATGATCAAAATATAATTGGAGGAAAGGGGAATAATGATATTAGATTAAAAATGCGTCTATAGGATCTATTGAGCTAAGAGAATTCCAGGGAAAAGATAGATAGATAGAAGAGGAAATATAGAAAACTCTATATAGATAGATAGATAGATAAAGAAGAAAGCGCCCTCCCCGGCAGGCTCCCCCTCCCTCCCTCACTGTCTCACTGAGTCAGTAAGCACGAGACTAACCAGAGTAGAACATTGAACCAAAACATTGTTGGAACATTCTCTTGAAAATCAAATTTTACAGAAAACAGGGGATTTTAGGGGAATCCCGTCGTACATCTCCACTAGAGCACAGGTATACAGTATACAGTATAGCTTGGTTCGTTAACTAAACATTGAAAATAGGGAGGGAGGGAGGAGGGTGCCTGGCTCCATGACGTAAATAAACATTATTACGATATATCAATTCTGTCATGTGTAAAAGTGTATAATTTGTTACATAACATAAAAATCAACGAAAATGCATCGAAGAAAGAATCCAGTCAGCAGATTTTAAATCTGCGAGACAAAATCTGTTTACTTTTAGCTTTGTTTGATATTATTTGATCATAATTGTGCATGTGCACTGATAATATCAGGGAAAATTAATTCCAAAACTAACGCTTGGCCAAATCATACAAAGTTATCTTTTTCAAGCATATCTTTCAATCCAAGCCGAGTTGAACAAAACTACACCATACATTTGTTAAAAATGGCTAAAACCAATTATTGAAAGAAGAAATGCCAATTTAAACTAATAATAAGGTGTGAGAATTAATTTCTGAAGAAATTTTTATTTATTTTCATTTTCGAACAGATCCCTATTTTGAAACAATTACCGGATTTCAGCTCATGTCGCGTTTTCGGAACATATCCTTGTTTTTGAGACAATTACCGGAATTCATATCAATGTCAATTTTTTACGCACTTTCGTAACAAATCGAGATTTTTTGATAAGGTAAAATATAATTAAAATAGAAAATAAAAACAAACTGTTCTTTATAATAATTTAAAAATCATTAAAGCATTGAGAAATCAAAAATATATTATTTATTCTTTAAATATAGATTTAACTAAAAATGCAGTAAACGGTTTGTTTAAAATACTTCAAAATAAATCATCGATTTTCACTAATTTCACAGACAAAATGCGGGAACTTGGATTTAGAAGTAATTTAGAATTTAATTTAGCCTTCATAACACAATTTTTGTTTTCAGTGATTTCTATGTAAGTTATGAAAGTGAATTTAGTTTTGAATTGTGGATTATACTCAAAAATGGGAAAGTGGGGTTTGTCTCGAAAACGCGACAGTGTTTTAAATTCAGGATATATATTCGAAAATGGAAAACCTGACATTGTCTTGAAAACGGTCAACAGATTTACTATAAAAAGTTTAAAGTTGGGAATTGTTGTCCTCGTCAAGTTTAATAAAATGTTGGTTATAGTTTTACTATCGACTTTTACTCTGGATATGGGCCCGGATCCCAAAAACCCAGTCTTTTAATTGTTAGTTTTTGAACTAATATCCCCTAATTATGTTTACAAAAGAATGAACTTATTAAATCTATCTAACTCTAATGAATCTTCAAATTGTTAAGTTATTAACGTGAAACATGACACTTTAGATAGAAAATTATCCGTCTAACAAATAACCGGTCAAATACCGGATATTCTACTTCATGACAAATAAATTATCATTGAATTCGTTGGAATTTCGCTCACCAAAATTTTATGCATAGCCCCAAATTGGACCAATAGTGAAAATTGAAGATTTAAGACTCTGGATATGGACACATTTTTGCCAGGCAAACTTGTGATTTATTTTAAATAATTTTGGGGAAATTCTGTTCCCTTAATATAGAAAAAGAGCTTGGACCCTTATTAAGTAAATGTCCGTTTTTAATTTTAAACTTCTTAAAACCATTTTCATTTGAAGCTTCTTCATATAATTGACTGTACAAAGTGTGAATATTTAGTTTTAAATTCTCGACTTTTTTCAGGGACGGATTAAAGGGGGGGGCCTGGCCCCACGGGCCTCACCCTGAGCTCCTGGAATGGGGGGGGTCCTAAGAAATTTTATGATATGTAATAAAACATCAAAGGATGAAAGACACAACGAAAAAAGAATTGAATAAATGACCTGAAATACCCGTTAAAATTGTTATCTCTTATTATTTATACTAATTTGCCTTTTACAGATAGAAAAGTGATAACTGGAGTTTACAGATAGAAAGTAGGAGAACTGGAGATTTACAAATGGAAATAAGAAGGATATCTAGAGTTTACAGTCAAAAAGTAGGAAAACTGGAGTTTATAGATAGAAAGTAGGATAGAACTAGATTTTACAGAAAGAAAGTGGGAGAACTGGAGTTTACAGATAGAAAGTAGGAGAACTAGAGTTTGCAAATAGAAAGTGGGAGAACTGGAGTTTACAAATAGAAAGTAGGAGAACTAGAGTTTACAGATAGAAAGTATAAGATAACTAGATTTTACAGATAGCAAGCAGGAAAAGAAAATTTACAAATAGAAAGTAGGAGAACTATAGAGTTTACAAATGGAAGAAAGTAGGAGAACTAGAGTTTACAGAGAGAAAGTGGGAGAACTGGAGTTTGTAAACTTATATTTATTGAATAATTAAGAACTCTATGAATTCACTGCCTTTTGTTAAATTTTTAGGGGGGGCCGAATTTTTGTTGCGCGCTTCGCAATTATGCCCCCCCCCCTGAGAATGATTTAACCCCCCCCTGGACTTTACCTTTATAGTTTTACTATCGAGAAAATTAAATTCATTTTGTTGAAAATTAAAAATTCAACATTTTTTGTTTTCTCCAAAGCTCTTCACTTCAAAAAAAGGAGTATATATAATGATGAAAACCTCTAAGTTTTAAATCTGAGGTAAAATTTGACGTGGTATAGCCAGGGGCAAAATTAAAGAAGAAGGAAGGGGTTTGGCGGGAGGAGGGGGGGGGTTAAACAGGTTCCCATGGTAACCAAGCTTACATTGCGTACTTTTCCTAGCACGACCGCAGCGCATGATTTCTCTCGAGACACTAGGATTTACTGGTTGCGTAATGCGTAAATATACGCTAATGTTGCCGGAAACCTGTTTCATTTTAAAGGCCGGGTAGGCACAATGGGGCGCAGGGAGTCTTTTTTTATAAATCTCATTTTTCCTCTTCATTTGAACATTAGAACCCCCTCCCACTACTCTCACTGCATGCAGTTTTATTTATAAGGAAAAGAATGACAAAATTATTTGGCCTCCATATAAAATACTCATATTTCGCTTATAAAAAAGTCAAGCCTATAAATCCTCAAAATAACTTAATTCTAAATGTACTTCTAACTTAATTCTAAATCTACTTCTAGCAATTCTAAATGTACTTCTAAGAAAGATTTGAGGGGGGGGGGAATTTGTTTCATGTACAAATTAGTTCAAAGAAAAAGCTTTCCACCTTTTTGTTACAAAACTCCTTAATGACAAATTGGTCATCTAACCTATCATTCTTACTCACATCATCATGAATTTCCTAATGATCATAAAGTAATGATCGTGCTATGAAGTTTAATTAGCTGTATGTAATGCTAAATTAGCTTTTCATTACAGCAGGCCAGTGTCCTATAATGTTTAAAAAAAAATAAAATTGGATATTTCCAAAATATTTTTTTCAATTAAATGAAAATACAATTAAAATTAGCTTTATATTTTGACTTATTTTCATGTCCAAAAAACGTTCACTAGGACAGATCCTAATAGAATTACCCTTACTCCAAGAAATATCACTTTTTTTAAAATTATAACTGTAAAACTAACCTACGACTCAGTCAGTTTACAGTTCACAGTAAACATTATTTATTTTGAACATTTGTACAGCGTTAAAAGTTCAACGTGAACATCTTTTACTTTTATACATACAAGATTACGTTGCGTACAAATGTACGCTTCAAATCTTGTTTGACTAATATATCAATAGTCTAAAATTTTCTATGCCCGTTCGGGTCAACAATAATTAGCTAGTACAGTTCAATTCATCTTTCAAAATTCTTTTTTTTAAATATTGCACTTTTTTTGCATATTATCCAACGTATAATCTTTTTTATATTATTTTAACGTTTAATAAAAGTTTTAAATTAAAGGAGAAAACTCTTCTGTTGCTTTTTTCTTTAGCAATTAAGAACCATTAGTCCATTGTCAACATTTGAACTATTCAAATTACAATTTTAGTGCAAAGATCTTATTTAGGAAATAGCTTATTTAGGTCAATTATTTTTTTGTGTTTCAGTAGAAAAGGTGAGCACTAGCAGTGTGAGTATGGGGTTTGATGAGAACTCTCCATATTTTCCTGAAAAGCAAGGATTGTACGATCCCGCGCTGGAAAGGTAAAAAATCTTCAAACATTTTCCGTTGACCATGTTTTCTGCATTTTGTGTCTCATGGCATTTGGGGTTGATTCCTATTCAAAAGAAAAAATTGTTTTTTAGAAAATAATTATGTTGAAGTTTTCTAATTGTTTGAAATCTTACATTCCCATGAATCGGTGTTTAAGATACGATACGATTCGTTGTTTTTAAATATCATCAAGGGAAAAAAGTTCTTTATCAAAAATAAATTCTTCATAAATCGGAATCAATTGTTTAAAGGATCCGGATCCATCTGGAATGAATAATTTCTTTGAGCTAATATCAGAATATATCAGAACCCGCTTGGCGCTTGAAATCTCCTAAATCGCGATGTATGCTGAGTCAGTCTGAACTCAACAGCTGATCTGTTATTTGCGTAACTCCAAAGTAGATCGATTGTACGTCCTGAGCTGAAAACTTTAGAGTGGGATATCCTTAATCCTGATCGGATAATTAATCTGAAGATTAAAAATGAGTGGAGAACAAGCAATATTTAATCTGGAGATTAAGAAAAAGAGTGGATTTAAGCCTTAATCCTGATATCCACCATTCTAAAGTTTTCAGCTCTGTACGTTAACAGCGTTTTCAAACATTCAAAACTCCAAAGTATTTGTTTTGTTTTCTGCCACTTTTACTAAGTAACTATTAAGTATATAACAGCTCTAGCAAACAAAGAGTTAAACAATTAAAGCGTAGATTAATAGGGATGTGTTCGACATCCTTGATCAGCCTAGGATTTAAAGGGTACCATTGTCAATCGGGTATGCTCCTCTCCAAATTGAAATTACGTGTTTATTCCCTTTAATCTCGTTAATGAATATTTAATCTTTTCCAGGGATGCTTGTGGAGTCGGGTTTATTGTTCATATTGATGGAAGCTCTTCTCATCAGATTCTCCTGGATGCTCAGGAGCTTAGCAGGAGGTAATATAGTACGTCAAAAGAAGCTAGGGGGATATAAGAAGGGGCAGGGGGGATCAAAAAGGTAAACAGGAGGGGGGATAGAGGTCATGGCAGGAGGTTAAACAGAAGCTTAGTAAGAGTTATTATAGGAGTTGCAGGAGAAGGGGGTGGTAGATGGATGGTACAATTATTTCAATAAGGGAGAGGGAGGTCAAGGTAGTCATGAAAATCAAGAGGAAGTGTGCGAAGAGGAAGTGGGCGGTCAAGAAGAAGGGGGCGCTCAAGGAGGGAGTTGGCTGTCATAGAGGGAGTGAGGGTCAGGTCAAGGAGAGAGGAGGTATCAGGAAATGCCAAGGGGTTATATCATATTAGGCCGGTCAAGAAGTTTAATCAGCCAGTCAGAAAGAGGAAAGGAAGGTCAAGGAGGAAAAGAGCTAGAAGGGAGAGAGGTTTTAGAAAATGTTATAATAGTTCTGCACTAGAAAAGGGGTTCTTCATGAATTGTACTAGAATATGGTGAAGGTTCCTATCCAAAGAAGATACACGATAAAAACGTTGAAAGGTTTCATAAGATATCATCCTATAACCCCCCCCCCCCGGGACTAATTCTTACCCTGAATTATGTACAGGATGACCCATAGAGGAGCTTGTGGAGCTGATAACGATAGCGGGGATGGAGCCGGAGCATTGGTGGCGCTTCCTCACCCATTTTATAAAACCAAACTCAGGTCCCGCATTATTTCATAATCTTTAAAAATCTGCACATTTTGAATATCATTTTTATGAATTCAATATTTAGTGAGGAGCTCGGTATACATCTGCCAGAACCTGATGAGTACGCAACAGGAATACTTTTCCTTGATCCTGTTCATCATCAGATATCCAGGTGCTTATACTTTATAGGATATCCAGGTACTTATAATTTATTGGATATCCAGGTGCTTATAATTTATTGGATATCCAGGTGCTTATAATTTATAGGATATCAAGGTACTTATGATTTAAAGAATATCCAGGTACTTATAATTTAAAGAATATCCAGATACTTATAATTTATAGGATATCCAGGTACTTTTAATTTAGAGGATGTCAAGGTACTTATAATTTATAGAATATTCAGGTACTTATAATTTATAGGATATCCAGGTACTTAAATTTATGAAGGATATCCAGGTACTTAAATTTATGAAGGATATCCAGGTACTTTTAATTAATAGGATATCCAGGTACTTATAATTTAAAGAATATCCAGGTACTTATACGTTATAGGATATCCAGATACTTAAAATTTATAAGATATCCAGGTACTTATAATTTATAGGATATCCAGGTACTTAGAATTTATAGAAAATTACAGGTTCTTATAATTTGAAGGATATCCTGGTACTTTTAATTTATAGGATGTCTAGGTTCTAACAATTTAAAGTATATCCAGGTTCTAAAAATTGATAGGATCCAGGAACTTAAAATTTTTAGGATATATGAATGGTATTTGAAAAAAGAATTACCTAATATCCAAGTTTACTTTACTTCAAGTTCATTGCAAATTCATATTTCATTGTAAATCGTCAAATATAAATTGCACATTTATTCTGTCAAGTTCAATACTTTTTATACAAAGTCGTTGAATTCAGATTGAAAAAAAAAAATTCTTCAGAGATGAATTTGCTGAGCTGGCCGGAACACTAGGAGTGCGCGTGCTTATTTGGCGCGAGTTGCCGCGTAGCAATGCTTGCCTTGGAGCTATGGCGAAGAAGACGGAGCCCCTGATCACCCAGGTGTTCCTCGTCCCCTCCACCTCCGACATGGACAAGGAGGAGTTTGCAAAGAAAATTTTTGTTCTGAGAAAGAAAGCAACACACAGGTTGGTTTTCAATTCATAAAGACTTTCGTTTTAGTTTCAAGTGCCCCTCTATTTATCAAGGGGCATGTCCGATTCGCAACAGTTTTTTCATTGTTTTTAGAACAAGAAATCCGCGAGTAACTTTTTCAGACAAATCACAACTAAAAATAATCAATTTTCAAAAAAATCAAGGACATCTTGTTCATCTTTGATCGACTTGATCAAACCAAGGTTATTAGGGGCACCGTTGTGAATTTAAAGTGCCCTACAAAAGATAGGGGTCACTTAAATTTATCTCTCACTCAACAGTCTAAGTCCCTTAAGATTTTAGAACTAAATATTTAAGTGTAAGTCCCTTAAGATTGTAGAACTAAATATTTAAGTCTATGTCCCTTAAGATTATAGAACTAAATATTTTAAGTCTAAGTCCCTTAAGATTGTAGAACTAAATATTTAAGTGCAAGTCCCTTAAGATTGTAGAACTAAATATTTAAGTCTAAGTCCCTTCATATTGTAGAACTAAATATTTAAACTTTGATATGATCAGATGTGGTAAGTCGGGTCAACTTTAACATATTTTGTTCAAATTTTCAAATTCTGGAGTTAACTGTTGTCCGCCAAATCTTGAATTAGTAAATATCAAAGTGAAAAGATAAAAAAGACGGTGAAACATTTATTATTAGACAGGTTTGATAAAAAAAATTCTTTCTTAAATGTATCCTTTCAGTTCTATAAATTCAAAATTGAGCATATTTAAAAAAGCTAAATTATCAAATAAAAAAGATGTCACATGATTATATATCGTAAAATTATATTAAATCTCAATTATTGCTTTAACTACCTCGCAGTGCTCTCAAACCAAATCTAAAAACAATAACGGTTTTTGGTTTAGAAAGCCGAAGAAAAATCCTTTATGAAAACATTGTTCCTAATTAAGATGTTGATTATAGAAAAATACCGTTTTCATCTGTATTTTGTGTCGGAAAGTGATTCATATTTTTATTCAACTACAAAGCATTAGATATTACAAATAGTCTGGGCCTGCCTAACCAGGGTAGGTTGTTTTGAGGGGTTGGCCCTAAGTTAGTTAACGATAATTAATAGGTTACACACATCAATTATGTTTTGGGATAGGTAGGGAGTTGATTGGGAGGTAGGAGATTATTAGGTAATCTGTGGCAGGGTTAGATCAGATGGATTAATGTAGAGATAAATAAAAATACAGTGTGTAAAGGATAGTGGATAGNGTAGTTGTTAATTAAATGACCGACGGTGTCTTCTAAGGGGACCTACCCCGTCGCCAAGGGTGTACGAAGGGGGGGGGGGCATATCTGAACTGGAAAGGGATAGGGCAATTTTTGATCTACTAATTTCTTTCCACTTCCAAGTAAAAAATGAACAAAGTTAACGAATCTAAGACCTCGCAACATCATTGATTTAGTAGAGTCATCTTAATTTTGGCGTGTGGGTGTAGGACGTCCCTAAACGTCTGATTTGATTTGATTTGATTTGATTTTTTTATGTACTTTAAGCTGCACAATTTTAAATTCTGTTAGGAAATATGATACTTAATATCTTTATCCAGAGTTAAGATAAGAAGTTTTTTCCATTTTGATAATTCAAAAAATGAAGTTTTGCATTTCATAACTTTTAAATTAATGATCAAATTTTTTTAATATTTTCAGGTTTACAGAGAGAAGGTTTTATATTTGCTCCCTGTCAACCAAGACTGTGGTTTACAAGGGACAATTTGATCCTTGTCAACTCTGGGAATACTTCCTGGATCTACAGAATCCGGAGTTTAAAACCAAACTCTGTATTGTGCACACAAGGTTCTCAACCAACACCTTCCCCAGCTGGGAGCGCGCGCACCCTATGCGCTATGTTGCGCATAACGGAGAGATAAACACGCTCCGGGGTAACGTGAATCTTATGAAGGCGAGGGAGGGGGTGATGTCTAGCTCCAGGTTCGGAGACGAGTTGAAGGATTTGTATCCGGTAGTGGAGCAGAACCTATCCGACTCCGGGTCCTTGGACTGCTGCCTTGAGTTCCTTGTCCAGGCAGGGAACAGGTCGCTGCCTGAGGCCGTGATGACTATGGTCCCTGAGGCCTGGCAGAATGACCCGGCGATGGACAGTTCAAGAAAGAATTTCTATGAATGGGCGAGCTGTACCATGGAGCCATGGGACGGACCAGCACTCGTCACTTTTAGCGATGGACGATATGTCGGAGCAATCCTAGACAGAAATGGTCTTCGTCCATCAAGGTTCTATGTGACCTCCGACAATATTATGGTCATGGCCTCCGAGGTCGGAGTTTTCGATTCTCCGCCTGAGAAGATTCTACAGAAAGGTAGATTGATGCCCGGAAAGATGCTTCTGGTGGATACAGAGGAGAAGAGAATCATAGGAGACGAGGAGGTGAAAAGTAAGATTGCCGACTCCCGTCCTCACGGGGAATGGTGGAACCAGCATATAACCTTGGACATGCTGAGCAAAGGGTTTAAGCAGGAAACTCTCTTCTACAATCCTATCGTCAGAGATATGAACGGGGACGAGCCTAATATCCTGGAGAGGTTGTGGACTGGAGACAGAAGGATGCCTATGTTTGGCTACACTATTGAGACTATTCAGATGTTGATGGTTCCTATGTTTAAGACGAGAAAGGAAGCTTTAGGTTCTATGGGTAATGACGCCCCCCTGGCCTGTTTGTCCAGGTACCAGCCCCAGATATACGAGTACTTTAAGCAGTTGTTCGCTCAGGTCACCAATCCTCCCATTGACCCCTTCAGGGAGAAGATTGTTATGTCCCTAGCTTGTCCTGTTGGACCTGAAGGGAATATTCTTGAACCAGGAGCAGAACAGTGTCACAGGCTATGGTTGGAGAACCCCATTCTCTCATTGGGTGATCTTCAATCCATCAAGACTACCAATGTGATGGGCTGGAAGGCTGCTGTGGTTGATATCACCTTCTCCAGGTTATGCAGCTGCATGGCTACTGAGATCGACCGTATCTGTGAGGAGGTTGAGCAGGCCGCTCACTCTTGTCAGTTCATCATCCTTTCCGACCGTAATATTGGTCCTGATCGTGCTCCGGTCCCCGCTCTCCTGGCATCTGGAGCTGCTCACCATCATCTCATCTCCAAGAGGCTGAGGAGCAAATGCGCGCTGATTGTCGAGACAGGAGAAGCACGTGAGGTGCATCATATGTGCGTTCTTCTTGGGTATGGAGTTGATGCTATCTGTCCTTACATGGTGTTCGAAATAGCTCACATGTTGAGGAACGAGGGTTTGATTGATCCTGAGATAACGGACCATGTTGTTTATGAAAACTATGCAGCTGCTGTAGACAGAGGAATATCTAAGGTAAATTGTTACAAATATTGAACAACTATTTAGTAGGCTAAGAATGTATTGTACAATGATTTAACAAAGTTTTAGTTGACAATTAATATCTAAGATATTGTTACTGGTTACAAATATATCACAAATATTCAGCTGATCAAAGAATGTCTAGGTATTAATACTAAAATATAACAAAAAATTAGCAGGTGTTCAGTAGTATTTTATGGTTTTGTTAAAAAATATCTAAAAATTGTTTTGTAGTAAATTTCATAAAGTGTTTCCCAAGCACTCCCTTGAGACAAATTCTCAGCTTAAAATAAAATCATGTTAAAAAAGTGTTCTCGAATCTTCAAAAAAAAAAAAGGTTTTTAATACATCGACGGAGAATTTATTGTTTAATCCATTGAGGTTAAACTTCATGAAATTGTTTAAAAATGTAAAGTAAAAATCTATTTCGTCTTAAACCTCCTTTTAAATTTCATGGCATTTAATATGTAAGAAGTTTGAAATGATTTGGAGGTTATATGATTAATCAAATTATTTCCTCTGCAAATAACTTGCATTATTTACTGCATAATCTTCCCAGCAAATTAGATTTGACCAATTTCATGTTTTATTTTATCTTTAACGGATTTTTCGTTGAATATTTACATTAAAAAAATCGCGAATCTTTGGTTCTGAAAGAATTTTGTTTTAATTTTTTTTCTTAAGGTTATGGCAAAGATGGGTATCTCTACTCTACAATCTTACAAAGGAGCCCAAATCTTTGAGGCCGTCGGTCTTTCTCAAGAGGTCATTGACAAAAGCTTCCTTGGAACCCCCTCCCGTCTCGGAGGAGCCACCTTTGACATTATTATGGAGGAGACATTGCAGAGGCATGAGGTTGCTTTCGGCGAGAACGAATGCGATTCGAGGATTCTGAGAAATCCTGGATTTTTTCATTGGAGGTCAGGAGGGGAGAAACACGTCAATGACCCATCCTCCATTGCCCTGCTACAGGAGGCCACTAAGCATGAGAATAAGTCAGCCTATGAAAAGTACTGTGAGGCTGCTATGAATAGTATTAAGGACTGCACCCTCCGAGGACAACTAGAGGTCGTCTTCCCTGAGACCGGGATAGATATTGATGAGGTAAAATTTTCGCAAAATACTAGCTGAAGTGCCCGACTTTGCCCGTGGAATTTTTTTTTAATTTTGGTGAACAAAATCTTATTTTTGAAAAAAAAATGTCGACACTTTTTTAGTCAATGTTTCTCTCTGGGCACCCATGGGTTCCCTCCATTCGGTCCAGCCGTTTGGCCAGCTATGGTTAACATATATACCAACAAATATATATGAGCGAAGAGAATTATTATTTATAATATAAAATTGATTTTAAAAAAACATTTAACTTAGTTATCTCTTCTCAGAAAATTTTGAATGAATATTTAATTTGAAATAACTTTCCACTATTACCATTTTAGTCTCAAATATTTCTTTTTAATTTATTTTCAGTAGAGTTTATAAAAAGGAAAAATATTAATAATCTTCAAATCTTCAAGTTGACCTTAAAGCATTTTTTTGAAAGATGTTTTTCACGCATGAACTTTTTATTTTCTTATTTACCGTCTCATTTGTTAGCGATAAAAGAGTTATTAAATGAAACGAATTCATCAAACTTGATTTCGGACAAAAATATTTGCCCTTTAAAAGTTTTCTAGATATCTGGAACGATCAATTAAAAGACATTATTTGTTGAGTTTGTAATGTTAACTTGTTATGATTGGTTAAATAATTTTGAGTAGAACTGAGTATAGGGGGAGAGGGCTTGTTTACATTTTACTTTGATGTTATAGGACTGCTAGAAAACTAGTTTTATTGTAAAGATTAAACAAAGCTCGGTATTTCTTAGCAGTGAGGACCGGACTTGTGTAATTATTGTGCAAAGCAATCCATTTTATTATAAACATCCTTGGAATAGTGGAATTATCAAATTGTTACTGTTACTGTTTGTTATTTTTATTGATATTAATGTTGCTATTGTTATATTACAGGTTGAACCCGCGGCAAATATAGTGAAAAGGTTTGCCACCGGAGCCATGTCCTTTGGGAGCATCTCCCTGGAGGCCCACACCACCCTCGCTATAGCCATGAACAGGATGGGAGGGAAGTCCAACACGGGGGAGGGTGGAGAAGATGCTGATAGGTTGGTGTTTTTAGTTTTAAGGGACTGTCTACGTAATTTCAACTGACTCTTTTTATTTAAAGAGATACAGTGTTTCAGTTTTAGTTAGATTTTTTTCTTAGAACAAGCTCGATCAATATTTTCTTTGACTTATTTTCGTTCTTATTTATCTAATTATTAATTTTTATTGCGAATTACATTTTTGTTCATATTTTTTGTCTTGATTGATGATTTTTTTTGTTAGAAAAGTATTTTCTCTAAATAGACATTATAATTATTGTTTCATGATAAAGAAAGCCTATCTGATAAAGTTTTAACTGCATTCTCCAATTTTCATGGAATTTTCCCCATATTTATTATTTATCCAGCAATTTTATGAGCATGCTTTCCTCTATAATTCATTGGAAAGTAGACTTTCTGAGGAATAAATTATTTTGTTCTGAGATTTGATCGAATCCTAAAGCTTACAGCTTGTTAATTTGTCAAGTTTACTTAGTTAAAACTGAACATATCCCGCATTTCTTGCAATTTGCCGAATTCTAGACTAATGTCGTCTTCCCAACATTTGTCTTGTTTCTTAAATATTCCGCGATTCTTGGATAATGTCGTCTTTCATACTTTTCTCCTGTATAGGTATTTAAATCAAGATGCTGAATTCAACAAGAGGTCAGCCATCAAGCAGGTGGCCTCTGCTAGATTCGGAGTGACCTCTGCCTACCTTTCTCACGCTGATGAGCTGCAGATCAAGATGGCGCAAGGAGCTAAACCCGGAGAGGGAGGAGAGCTCCCGGGATATAAAGTTACAAAGGTACATTATTACCCATATAAAAAGTCAAAATGTGTTTCTTAATGTGGACGTCCTACAACCCACCCCTATAGATTTTTTTGTGAAGATAAAATGAACATTGGAATTTATTGGGAAAAATCTAAAATAAGAACATTTATTTTTCAACAATGAATGATAATTGATAATGGAACAATTTAATTGTCTTTTGTAAAGAGTAAATTTTTTACTGTGATATTTTAAGACAGGCTAATAGCCATGGGGTGAAAAATAATAAATTGTAAACATGAAAGATGGGAAGTGGGTGGGGGGGGGGATCGTTTTTTGTCTATTACCCTGTCCAGTGTCCACTTTATAAATCAGAACTCTTGGTTTCTCTTGATTAATTTATTCTCGAGATAACTTTAACTCTATTTACTCTTCAGGAAACTAAATATTTACTCTCCAGGAAACTTTAACTCTTGTTACTCTCTAGGAAACTCTTACATTATTTACTCTTCAGGGAGGGAGGGAGTCCAGAGTTCCTCAAATAGCAATCACCGCCACCCAAATCTGTTTTGCGGCAAGCGCGCTACTCAATTGGTAATCTCCACCACCTCAATTAGTAATCACCGTAAAAAAAATTTTTTCTGTGATTTGAATTTAATGCACTTTTAACACAATTTTCGACATCTATCGGGGTTTTATGGCATCTGTATCAGATTTGTTTGGTCAACAAAAACTGAGAATCAAGGCACAGTTCATTTCAGCCGAATCTTAGATCCAATTCGCCACTTTAATGACTGCATTTCATGATTGGCGTCAAGATACTAAAAGGTCGCGCTGCCTGTTTACTAAAAATTATCTCATCCCACGCAAAGTAATATCCATCTCCATTTAAAAGATATTTTCAAAAAACCTTTACAGTGTTAAGATTTTTGAATTCGCCAACTCGAGTTCAACATCTACAACAAAACTAATTATATGCATAGAAAGGACTTAAAATTTACTAAAAATTATCTCATCCCACGTAAAGTAATATCCATCTCCATTTAAAAGATATTTTCAAAAAACCTTTACAGTGTTCAGATTTTTGTATTCGCCTACTCGAGTTTCTCAGGAAACTAAATTTATTTACTCTCCACGAATATCTTATTCTCCAGGAAACTAACTCTATTTACTCTCAGGAAACTAAATTTATTTACTCTCCACGAATATCTTATCCTCCAGGAAACTAACTCTATTTACTCTCAGGAAACTAACTTCATTTACTCTCCACGAATATCTTATTCTCCAGGAAACTAACTCTATTTACTTTCCAGGAAATTGCTAAAACCCGACACTCTGTACCAGGAGTAGGACTTATCTCTCCTCCACCTCACCACGATATTTACTCCATAGAAGATCTGGCACAGTTGATCTATGATCTCAAATGCGCGAACCCTTCAGCTAGGATCTCAACCAAGCTGGTCTCGGAGGTCGGAGTAGGTGTGGTCGCTTCCGGAGTCGCCAAGGGGAAGTCGGAGCACATTCTTATCTCCGGACATGACGGAGGTACTGGTGCCTCCTCCTGGACCGGGATTAAAGGAGCAGGTAATAAACTAAATCCCTTCTCATCCGCCCAAACCATATTTTAGTATAGTTGTAGTTTGTTATTAATCTCAATCTGAATTTGCCCTCTGTTATTACCATTATTATTCTGTATAAACATTATTTGTTAGGGTTGCCCTGGGAGCTTGGTCTAGCAGAAACCCATCAGACCCTAACCCTTAACAACCTGAGATCTAGGGTTGTTCTCCAGGTATAATTAATGACAAAAAAGTACAAGGAAAAGTCAAGTTGTCTTGGATGTAATGTGTTCAGTTCACCTTTAAGACTCTAATTTATTTAAACGCTAATCTGAACGGTGTCTTCAGCATTACTTTAATTGCTTGGCTAATAAGCTGAACTTAAGGCTGACGGTCAGATGAGAACCGGTTTTGACGTTCTGGTCGGCGCGCTGCTCGGCGCAGACGAGTTTGGGTTTTCTACTGCTCCTTTGATTGTAATGGGGTGCACAATGATGAGGAAATGTCATCTTAACACCTGCCCAGTCGGTGTAGCGACACAGGTTAGTTTTAGAAGAATTGTTAATGATTTTTTAAAGGGAGTGTTTAAGAATTTTAAAGGGTAGGTTCAAGAATTTTATAAGAGATTGTTAATGAATTTTTAATAATCGTGTTCTTGTGACAAATAGAAATATTGGTAATTGATAAATTTATAAAAACTCTACATTCAGAATTTAACTAGTCATGTCTTAAAATACCCATTGAACGCTTTCTTTGCCTCACAATATTTTTATTTTAAGTTTATAACCTGTTTTTTATTTATTTTATTAATCCAGCCCTGTTCTGCCTAGGACCCTGAGCTGAGAAGAAAGTTCGAGGGTAAACCCGAACACGTGGTAAACTTCTTCTTCATGATCGCCGAGGAGCTTCGTGGATACATGGCTCGTCTTGGATGCAAAACATTCCAGGATCTTATCGGGAAAACTCAATTCCTCAGGTAAAGCTATTTCCATTTTTTAAAGACATATTTGCGATGATTTATGTGAATATGATAGGTGGGAC